CCAGGCCTAGTGGCCGCGGTGACTATGTGCCGATCCCGCCCCAGGCGCCGCGCTTGAAGGTTGTGGCCGCTGCTTTCGGCGCCACCCCCCAAAGTCTAGCAGTAGCTAGGGCTGACGGCGGAGGTTTGTCTTGCTGGTTCTCCCACGACGGCAGGCGAAGCGATCTGGATCGACACAGCAAGTTCCAGGGGCGGTTTTATTTCCGCGCGCCTCGTCAGGCAGGCCCGTCAAAACTCTCGGCCTTCGGGCCTTTTGCCAACTAAATACCTCGGATTGTTCCCCCTCTACAAAAGCCATTCGTCGTGACGAGCCCTGATGCCTGTTTTCGTCGTCAGCAGTAGCCGCCCGGTGTGACTTCTTACTCTCTCGTTTCTCGTTTCAAGAGACGCCCATTAGAGCCTCTGGCTTTTTTTTCTGTCCACTCGGAATTACCCTTTCTGGTGACGACAACGCCATTTCCGCAATAGGACGGAAGGAGGGAGGAATACTCGACGGCGGGAGATAGAGAGAGAGGTATCATCAAAGGCGTGCGACGCCATGGCGAACTCATCCCTCCCCAACGACGAATACTGGAACTCGACGCTCTGGCGAGGCCCAGAAATAACCGAGACTATCTCGCTGTCAGGTATCAACGTACGTTTTGCGACGACTGCGGCCCCTGAATCGCCCAAAACAACGGCGTGGTTGAGGCAGTCAGTACTGTAAATCCGGCGCCAAATCACTAAACACGACAGGGAACATGCCAACTTCTAGATAACGACATGGACAATATTTGGGGCCGCATTTGTGGCAGTTGGTCTCAGACTCTTTTCCCGGCTTGTCATGAGAAGGGAGCGGCTCTCCGTCTCGGACTGTTGGATGCTGCTAGGCCTCGCTTCAGCGCTCGGCTCCCTGGTTCTCAACACCATTGCTGCCGGTATCTTGTACACAGGCAGCGGTCCCGACGATCAGGAGTCGCTATTACTACTCAAGGTACGCGTATGGCCGGACGGAGACGATGGTGCTGTGCGCGACGGGAAAGCACTAACATGAGGGGGTGGGAAAAGATACAATTCGCCAACAATTACCTTTACGATCCCGGGTTGTACTATTCAAAGTTCTCCCTTTTGTCCTTCTATCTCTCGCTCATCCCCAAGACAAGCACGCGGACGCGGTGGGCGCTGAACGCCATCGTCATCATCACGGTCTGCGGCTTCGTCTTTGCTGTTCTCGCCGATACGTTTTGGTGCGGCCCCGACCCCGGCAAGAACATGTAAGATCTCGCGTCATATTCACCGGGACCATGTCCCTTTTCCCCCAGAGTTTCTCTCCAAACATCTTGTCTGACCGGCTCACCCATTCGACAGGGAGCAGCAGCCCGGACAATGCTCCGTCCTGACATCGTCGGACCTCTTCTACACCGTCTGGGGGGTGCACTTTACTAGCGAGGTCCTGAGTAAGACTAGTCTTTCTGCGCTGACATGAGAAGAGCAAATGACGGGCGACCGCGGCTCTTGTGATGGACGGACCAGGAGCTAATCCCACCCGCCGCTGTCCGCCAGTCTTCCTCTTCCCGTTCCCAGTGATCACGCGCATAAAGCTCGAGGCCAGGGCCAGGGTCGCCCTCTGCGGGCTGTTCGGTCTGGGCCTGCTCACGCTGGGCATGAGCATCGGGCGTGTCGCCGTCTTCGCGCGTCTCATGAGAGCGACCAGCGCTGCCGAAGGCGGGGATATCAACAGGATCTTGTGTGAGCTTTTTTTCTTCTTTTTCTTATTTGCTTCCAGCCCGATCCCAAAGCTGCGGTGCGATTTGTGCTGACACGGAACTCTAAAAAAAATAAAAATAAAGTCGTCCTGTACCCGGCCGAGCTCTGCACGTCGCTCATCGTGATCGGCCTCTCGGCCTGCCGCCCGTTGCTCACGCGCGTCGCGTGCTCCATGCGCCGCGCCTGGGCGCCCTTCGCCCGGGCCCGGCCGCCGCCGGCCGCCTCGGGCAGCTCGGGCAGCTCGGCGCCGCAGATTGCGACCATCGGGTCCGGCGGCGCGGCCAAGGCCAGGCACGGCGACTCGCAGTGGCTGGCCGAGACGCGCCTCGAGGAGGGCGACTGCTGCGGCGAGGAGGGCCGGGGTGCACCGCCGGCCGAGGGGTTCTTTGGGGCAGACTCCTCGGGGCGCAGCGCGACTGACTACGGCTCGACGAGTATGCTCGTCATGGACCCCATTTTGATGGAGGACCTCGGGCGCCAGCCGAAGCCAGCATAGTCGCGGTTGGAAGGGTGTTATTTCACAGGTTGTAGTGCATTGCTTTGATTGCTGTCTGGTCATTCCGTAGCGTTCCTGAAATCTACCATGTATTCCCAGTTTCATGTTCTGTATGGCAGCGTGCCTGTAAATGAAATGTCTTGTCTTGTTTGGACAAAATGCGCCACCAAGTAGTTCCGTGAGCCCTGTGCCGAAGAAAGTGAAAAGAAGAAGGACGCCTTGTCATGATGGAGGCTCTGCGTCTCCAAGCCAGTCCCAAATGCATGTCGTGTGAGAAAAACAAGTAGGGCTCCTGGCGACTACGCTGGAGAATGCATAACTAAACAATTAAGGAAAACAGCTTCACATGGCGTACGCAACAAAGGCGGCAGCGACACCACCCATGGCGGCGAGGGCGGGGGCGTCCGTCCTCCTGGGCGCGAGAGCGGCACTGCGAGAGTTGGTGACGCCAGCCGTGCTCAGGGCCGACGCAACGATGCTGGACGCCGACGAGACCTCGGCCGGGTTGGGGTTGTTGTTGAGCTTGTCGCAGACCTGGGGAGCATCCGAGACGAGTTCTATCGGGGTGGGGAGAGAACAGGGTCAGTAACTGGGTATTATTCACTTTTGGGTGTAGCAACAACGTGAGGATTTTGACATACTGGCTTGCTGGTCAGAATTGCAGTTGCTGGCGACGCAGCTGATGAGGCTGATGTTGTTCGTCAGGGAGCCGGCGTTGGCGCACAGGCACTTGAGGTCGGCGGCGTCGCAGTTTGCCTGCTTGGCGGCGCCCGACAGGCACTTGATGCCGCACGACGGCAGACCTTGGACCAGCGCGACAAGGTTGGAGGTGGACCTGGTCGCCGGGGCGGTCGTTGTACGGGATGGCAGAACCGAGGTCGGGAGTGTTGGGGTGGTCTGCGTCTGCGCGGCGGCGACGGCGGCAAAGGCCGCGAGGACAAGAGTTTGGAACTGCATTTTATTCTCGGTTTGTTTTCCTTGGTCCCGTTTCGCTGGTTGTGGCCCCAACGAAATCTGATTTCGGTGTTTGACTCGGTACGCTTGATGAAGAAACGGTTCGGACGAAATACGAAGGTAGTGAGCTACCAAGCAGCCGGTGCGGGAGGAAACTCGAGTAGGGGGCTTTTTTTTTGAAGTTTGTGTCGTCAACGACCGGATGTGGAACAAAGGGAGATAGAGGGAGGAATAGTTGTGGAAAGAAGACGCCGTCTAAAAGGACGGCGAGGGATGTAAATAAAAAGAAAAAGTTGGCGAAAGAAAGCAGGCCAAGTAGCGCCAGCAACAGCCGACAAGCAGGAATACGAACATCAAACCTGGGTGCCTGGGCGCGTCCTGGCGGATGAGGTTGGGATGATGTCAAACCACACAGCCCCAGAATGCGTGCGTGGACAGCCAAGTGCCTGTGGGCCTGCCAAGGACGCTGCTGGCACAGTGAAGAGCTCTGCCGGCCTTGGAGGGTTGCTTTGCCCCTGTCCAAGCTCGCGGGTTTGCAGGGGGGTTGGCGTCTCTGCCGACGTGAATTGTCAACGAACGGAATTGTCAAAGAACGAGGCCCAGTGGCATGCATTTTTTACCATCGTTGCTGTTACCTGTACTTCTTGCTGGTGTGAAAATCAAGCCTCGCGGGGGGCTGTGTTTGCCCATACTGTGTCTATGCTATTTTTGATACCTCTTTACGAAGCCGGCAGTCGGTACCTGACCCATGCTCCACTCCAAACTGGGCAGTGGCAACGCGCGCACCATTTGTGTCGGTGATAAAGAGGCGGCAGCAAGGATCAGCAAACACAAACATGGAATGATGCTGACTGCGGCTCCATGTCCAAGGTACCTCCTGCTAGTGCCCTGCATCCGACGCTTCGGACCGGACGGCCGTTTGGGCCTCTGCCAATGAGGTCCGTGGCTTTTGCCGCGATGCCGGCTGCGGGGCTGCAAAAGGGCAAAAACTCACAAAAACTCACAACCAGCACGTCGGCACGTGTTTGAACAAAAACCATGACCGCCCGCAGGCACGGTAAGATGATGGAATTCCAGACCACAAAGCAATGCGTCATTCAACATGTCTGAGCCGCGTGGCGATGCGGCCAATGTTTCGGCCGATGAGCGATCGGCGCCCGGCCTTGGCTGCATGTTTGGACCAAATCACGCCGGGACCATGACATCGACTATTCTGGGGAAGCATCTGCTAGCGAGTATCTTATTATTATTAATAACCCATTACCCAGTTCATCCCAACTATTATGGCCCCGGCCGTCGGTGCCCAGCGGCGCGCGCGTCCGAGCGTGTATCCAACAGGCCTCCCCTCGTGGCTCGTGGTCGATTGATGTCCCTTCCATGATGCCCACAACCCCCGACTAGTCGACGTCCGATCCAATGCCATCGTCGAGTCCGCCGCCGAGGACGCGCGCCGCTGCCTCGTCAGCCGCAAGCCCAACCCGTTAGGTACACAATATCATCACATGGAAACCATCCCCTCTCCCGCCATGCTCCTACGCCGGCCGCACAGTCTCGGTGCTCGTGGCGCTAGTGTTGCTCTTGACGCTGCCGGCGTCTCCCCCCGACCCGTGGCTGTCGCTGCTCGCGCAACTTTCCGATGACGAGTCGCTTCCGTAGCCCTGCCACAGGTCTCCGTGGTGCTGGTATTGGCCTTGGCTGTACCCTCCCCGTCCTGAGTTCTCGCCGTTGCTTCCGTGGTGCCCGCCGCGGGTGCCTGAGCCCATCGGGTCCGGGCCGTGCATTCTGGAGGATTCAGTCGACGGCCCCCTCTCGCTCATGGCCGGCGAGTATGCTCTAGATGGTGCGGCTTGGTAGCTGTTGTAGCTGAGGGCACTTGATCAGAGCAGTCGTGTATCTTTTCGTATCATTTCGGTGGGGGGTCTATCTGCAGTATGCTCTCGTTCGTGGCTCAGGCTGCTGATGATGTTTATCCTTCGTCTAGGCAGATCTATGTGCTCTCCTCTTAACATATTTATACCGGTCCAGTAATAAAAACAACGCCATTCCGTAACTGCCGACGCTGTCCACCGTAGCGCCACCACATGCCCATGGTCGCACCCGAGCCACCAAGCATGCTTAACCCTCATGGCCAGCCGTGGACGTGGCACCGAAAGCATAATGTAACTTCATGCTATGCCAATCGGGAAGCGCGGCGCAACATGGCATCCTGCGCCGGAGCTTTACGCGCCACGTGGGATTCCAAATTGGCACAAAGCCTCCAAAGGACCAGTCCGTACCCATTTGTCCGCCTCCTCACGCGAGGAGACTCCCACCAACCCCAACATACCGATGGCGTTGGTGCTCAGCCCCTCCCACACGGCTCGCCTCCTCGGTATCACGGCCATCCAGTGCTCCGTCATGACCAGGTTGTGCGGGCAGCTCGTGCCCGGCCCGTCCCACCGAAAGCTCGATGAGGCTTCCGCCCGGCCGAGCAGCTCGCCGTACACCTTGGCCAGCGACTCCCCGGTGACGGGTGCCGATGCCCCGTCCTCTCCCTCCTCCACCTTGCGCATCAGCGGCTCGCGGAAGTACATGAACGGCACCGACGGCCGGCCCCCGCCGCCGCCGCCGCTGCCCTCCTCGTGGTCCAGAAAGGTCGTGAACCCCTCCGGGCGGCGGGTCAGCTGGACGTGCCTGTGCAACCTGCTGTTGCCCGAGGGCTCGCCGCAGTTGTAAAACACAAAGTGGCTGGTCCGCATGGCGCGCAGCGCCGCCCAGGCGGCCGCTAGGTCCGGGGCCTCGAGCGGGTCGTGCTGGCGCTTGAAGCCGTCCCGCGTCATGAGCAGCAGCATCGGGCGCGTGAAGCAGAACTTGTTGGCGATGAGGCGGTGGGTCGCGCCCACGTCGCAGATCTCGAACCCCACAGCGCTGATGTCGCTGCCGGGTTCGAAGAGCGGATGCTGCTGCTGCTGCTGCTTGCCCGCATCCCCTCCTGCCTTTGTGGTTGCCTGCTCCTCTCCTTGCCCGTGGCTATCACTGCCGTTGGGTGCGCCGTATGTGAATGGCTTTTTGTTCAGGCTGGGTGCCACGAAGAAGAGGAACTGTGAGAAGGGGGGAAAATGGTTAGGTACGTCGAGCTATCTGAAAGGTAGATATGCTGCCACGTGGCCAAGCTCTCTCTAGTACAGGAACGCGACCTACATGGAAGCCATCTTGAGAGAACGGGACGACCTCGCGGTTGTCGTAAAGGACGACACCGCTCTCGACGAGGTCATCGAATCTTTGGAGGATCTCGTTTTCGTCGACATCTATTGAGTCCATCTTGGAGGTGTGGTACCAAATGCAGAGCGATGTTTTTGTTTGGCTGTTTTCTTCTTTTTCTTGGACCCCACGTGTTGAATCTGGAATGACGAGCTTGACGGAAGCGGGTTACCTTTCCTCGTTGGCGGCGTTTGACAGGTGCCGGGACTTGCTCGGTGGGGAGATGGTTGGTTGTGTGGGGGCGTGTGAATGTGGGGGTCCCCTGGGGCTCCTACAAGCATCCATGTTGTCCTCTCGTACGCCCATTACCTCGCACCAAGTTGTACCGGATCCTAATCTCCACGCGACACTTCGAACAGACTTCAGGCAGTTTATTCCGAATCAAAATACCACCTTGAGCGTACTGTTTTACTGTGCCCATTTAGGTAGGTCAAGTTAGTATCTTGGACTGCCCGACCACCTCTGACCCCTTTTCCCCGACGCAAGAGGCTTCCATGGCGAGGGGCGTGTGGAGGGAATGATGCAGCCCAGGTCCCTTCCTCCGCGCTCGACTGTCAGTCCATGGGCGGAAAGCGGAAAGCAGACGCGGAATTCACAAGCATTATTGCGTCATCCATTACACTTGCCAACACTCTTGGAAAAGGCATAAATGTTGACCAGGGTAGCAGCGTTCGCTCAGTGGCGTAGCACGACGTTGATTAAAACCCGTTCTACGCAAGCACAGGGCCTAGGCTAAACATCTGTACACAGGACCAGGCGATCACGGAGCTGTGGCCAAAATTACCTACGGACGGGAGTAAAGTACCTGATTGAGAAGTTTCATCCAATTCACCATAGCCATCTTTCCATTAGCGCGAGTCCACTGATCGGGCCAGGTTAAAATAGGAGTTCATTTGATGATGGCCTTTCCACTGGTCAGGAAAGCGGAGAACGGCAAGCCCATTTGATTAAAGAATCATTGCCAAAAGACGGGTGTTAATGGGTTCCTTTGGATTATCATTCCGATAGTCCATTTTGGAGGCTACCCTGAGCACTGTAGCAGTGAAGCAAGCCCCAATTTGGCCTGCGTGTAAACAAAGTCACTCGGAAAAGGTCAAACGGTTTAACCAGCATTATCCGATATAATAACCCAAATGCTTATCATCCAACCTCTAACACGTTATTCCACGTGCGCCCGACAAGATGCGGGAGCTGGCAACCGTCTGGCAATTTACCTCGGGTGAGGCTCTCAACTCGGCCCGGGCCCGAATCCCTGTCGGCGGGGGGCTGCAGCGCGCGGATCATGACCCGACTCTGGCATATTTCGGCCGCGCTGGCCTGGCCGCTTCCGCATTGATCGCCGGCCAAGGGGTCCACAGTTCCACTCAGGATGCACCACCACGTGAGATCGCGACATCGGCCGGGGGCAAACGCAATAGACTCAGGCCCCGCAATGCGAAGAATCTGGCTGTAAGCCTTCACCGAGGGGGGCACGGGGGGCATTCTGGCGTCCCGGTGATAAGGAGAGCACCTCGCGCCCGGCCACCACGGCCGCTCGCCGTTGCCTTGGAGTCACCACTGCAGACCAGAGCAGATTTGTGCTGCGGACCACGCGCACGCAACCGCCGACACCATGTCCTTCTTTAGGAGCGTCCTCGCCCAGATGATCATCTGTGGCTGTATTGCCTTGCTGGGTCCCGGTCTCTGGGTACGTCGGCCCCTGATTCCTGGCCCGTTTGCTGAGCCAGTACGGCTTTTCTGGGCAAGCCGGCTAATGCGCATGTGCCCTTAGAATGCCAATAACTCGCTGGGCGCCGGCGGGGCGCTGGAGCCGTACCTGGTAAACGCGGCCAACTCCATCGTGTTCGCGCTCATGGGCTTCTTCGCCATCCTGTCGCCGGTGCTGGTCAACTTGATCGGGCTCAAGCAGACGCTGATAGTAGGAACGATCGGGTGGGCACCATATTCTGCCACGTTGTACGTCAACAACCGCTTCGGGATCGAGTGGCCCGTGATCCTCGGCGCCGCCATCGACGGCGTCAGCGCCGGCTTCTACTGGGCGGCCGAGGGCGCCATCATCCTGTCATACCCGGAGCACGCGAGGCGGGGCCGCTACCTGGCGCTCTGGCTCGCCTTCAAGAACGGCGGCCAGATGATAGGCGGCGCCATCAACCTGGGCCTCAACGCCGCCACCGCCGTGGCCGGCAAGGTGTCGTGGGTCACGCTCCTGGTCTTTGTGTGCCTGCAGTCGCTGGCCCTGCCCATCGCGTTTTCGCTCTCGCCGCCGCACAGGACGGTGCGGTCGGACGGTACCACCATCGTCGTCGACGCCCGCACCTCGGCGGCCGAGCAGCTGCGGCGCATCTGGCGCACCGTCTCGACGCGCCAGGTCGGCCTGATGCTGCCCATCTTCTTCTCGTGCTGGTTCTACTGGGGCTACGCCTCCACCTTCCTGACGCTGTACTTCACCGTGCGCGCCCGCGCCCTGGCCTCCTTCCTCTCCGCCATCACGGGCACCCTAGCCTGCGTTATTTTTGGCTACTTCCTCGACTCACCCAGGCTGTCGGTGCGGACCCGGATCCGGTGGGGGTTCTTCATCTCGTGCGTGCCCTTCACCCTGATATGGGTCTGGGTCATGGTGGTGCAGCACGAGTACACCGAAAAGCACCCGGGCGCGCTCGACTGGCTGAGCCCCGGGTTCGGGCGGGGGTTCGGCATCTACATCATGCTCAACACGCTAGGCAACGTGGTACAAAACTATTTATACTTCCTGGTCGGTACCATCGGCGAGGGCACGTCGGAAATGAGCAGGCTCACGGGCCTTCTCAGGGGCGTCGAAAGCTGGGGGCAATGCGCCTCGTTTGGCATCAGTAGCAGGTACGCCCGCATCCCGTCTCGGCCGTCGTGCAAAGGATCTTTTCCCCTGCCGCGCCCCGCCTGTCGCCTCCTCGGCTACCGGCACCATGACGTTGGAGGAGCGTTTTGACAGTAGCGAGCGTGCTAACGGCTTTTGTAAAACAGCAAGTTCAATCTTTTCCACACCACCATCATCAACGTGGTATTCTGGACCGTTAGCTTGGTCCCGGCCTTTTACGCCATCTGGGAGGTGCAGGACCGGAAGCGGGCGGGGTCCGAGTCGGAGCTGGAGCCGCGGCCTGCAGAGCCCGCTGCAGTAGACGAGAAGGTTGAGAAGGCATAATGTCGCAATATTGGCTCGAGCATGCCGTTTTCATGGGGCTACTCGGAGGGATAGACGGATGGGCGGGCCAATGGCGCGGGATGGCGTGGCAAATGCAACAGCCTCTTGGGCGTGGTGGTGGTGGTGGTGGCTCGCGCTTTGGACGGGGTCGATATCAGATGGTTGAAATGCAAGGGAGCAAAATGCAAGGGAGCAGCAGCAATCAAACTGCAACCACGACGGGCGTAGTGACCGACAGCTCGGGACCGGGATAGGTCTCTGCGCGGACGGGTAATCAGCCCTTTCTAAAAATAGGACACTGTCTCCCTTCCATGGAACCAAGGTGTGGACGCAAGCGTCCGTCCGGGAGGAGGGAGAAGTCGTGAAAAGGCCGCCAGACTGGTCTGGGCTGGCGTGACACGCGTGGCTGCCCGGAAGCTGGCTCGCCTAACCGCAACGCTTTGGGACTGCCAATATTTCCCGTCGCTTGCATCTGATAGGCTTTTAGCTTGTGGGGCGGGCTGCGAGGCCATGTCACCCCTCCCTTGCCGTGCGTGGGTGCGCATTGGACGGATTCGATTGAATTTCCATTCCAGACTTCGGACCAGGGCCCCAAAAGCCACGCTCGCGGAGCAGCCGCAAAAGCCAGGGAGACCCCCGTTTGCCGACTTTGCAGACGGCGACATGGGACGACGCTATTGCTTCGAGAGGCGTCCAATTGTCATGCGTGGTGTTGCTTCTGGTCGGCTGGTCGGACCACCCTCGTCGACTGCCCGTCGCCGGTGCGTTGTGTCCCACGGGGAGTTAAAGGGGTTGCCGACGTGGTAATATTGCTTTTGCTAGCGGCACTTGGGCTGTGCACCCACGTTGCCCCATCCCTCCCTCTCGCCTCGTCCCTCCCTCGCTCGCCTGCCCGGTGCCGACCTAGGCAATATCACAGATGGGGATGGATACGTAGGGATCCGTGGTGGTTCGGCGGATGTCACTGCATAGGTGGGGCGGAGGGAATGTTGAGGCAATGGCCGGGCGTCGACTGGACGCCCACTGCTTTGGGCTGGGATCCTTTGGTGGGCAGCAACGTGAATGAGTGTCCATGCATCAAGTCAATTTAGTCAATTTGGTGGCGGATGCCGTTGCTCTCCTGCTGGACCCGTCTAGCGTGACCGCCGCGACAGGGGGCCCACACAAGGGGCTGCAAGGCACGCTATGGGGCCCGCACCGTCGCATTGGGACGCCCATGACCCAGGAAATTTCTCCCGTCTTGCGCTCGCAATCACAACCCCGTCCGACCTCCAGGCGAGTCCCCAGCTGGCGGGAAAGCAAGGATTGGTCAACATGTGCCCGCGCATTTTATTTAACGTCGATGCTCTCGCGCCGCTGAGCCTCCTGGACATGTCCAGCAGGCTTCGAGTCACACCCTGACGACACCATCAAGTCCCCTTCCCAGGCCTCAGGTTCTCCTCGCCGTCGCGTCTCACACCCCCCTCGCCGCAACCATGATCGCCCGCGCTTTCTTGGCTGCCCTCCTCCTCGGAGCAGGCTGCGACGCCGCGCCTGGCCTCAGGGTCCGGGGCGCCGGCGAGCCCGCCATCCAGCCAAAGCCCCTCCACATAGCCGAGGAGAGCGAGATCGCGCCGTTCAAGGAGGCCACGGACCCGCTGCCGCCCCCGACCCCGATCCCCTTCACCCGCGAGGTCTTTCCCATCGCAAACTTTACGAGCCTGCCGCCGTACGAGGGCGCCATCGCCGCGTCGAGGAGAAGGGCCAGGGCGGCTGGTGGGGAGGAGGAGGAGGAGGAGGACGAGTCGCTCCTGCCCCGCGACATCAACGGCGCCGACGACCGCAAGCTCTACACGGGCCCCGCCGAGCTCCCCTACTCGGCCATGGGCCGGTTGCTGTCGCGCAACGGCTTCGTGTGCAGCGCCACCCTGGTCGGGCCCCGCCACGTGGCCAGCGCGCGCCACTGCTACCAGGCGGGCGTGGGCCTGCGCTTCCAGCCCCTCTACGACCGCGGCGAGCGGCTCGACGGCGCCTTCGTCACGGCCGCCATCAGCAAGAAGGGCGAGGTGGCGCAGATGTGTGACCACAAGGACGACTGGGTCGTCTTCGTCATCGACCAGCGCCTGGGCCAGCAGTACGGCTGGCTCGGCTTCCGCACCCTCAACTCGGACATCGCCGGCAAGTCGTCGTGGTGGAACTTTGGCTACCCCACCGACCTCGGCTCCGGCGAGCGCCCTTACTACCAGGGGCCCTTCGCCGCGGACCTGCTGCCCACCCTGCAGTGCCAGAACGGCGGGCCCCTCACCTCGGACATGGACGCCGCCAGCGGCCAGTCGGGCGGCCCGCTTTGGGTCAACCAGCCCGACGGCGCCTACATGGTCGGCATGCACTCAGCCTCCCAGCCGGGCTTCTCCGTCGCAGCCCACGGGAGCGAGTGGTTCGACGCCCTGTCCTATGCCAGAGCCAACTACCCCTAGGGAGGTGGGGCAGGACTAGCGCCAAAAACTTGTTCTTTGGAGACTTTAGTTTTGATAGAAATACAAAATTACTCCCTCATGCTAGCTACCGGTAAACTCGTGTTTGTTATCATGTCATCTGGCACCCGGTCGCCTGCTCAAATCGACCGATCTAGTCACTAGTTACATAAACCTAGACACTCGCGATAAGGTTGGGAGGCACGCGTAAAAAAAAAAAGCCTCTATTCAGCTCAAGGAAAACAAAAGCATCTGCTATCTAACTTGGCTCGCCTATTGTACAAATTCCTGCTGATTTACCAGCATGTCCTTACTTCCGTTGCTCCCTAGCGGTTGGCCGTCGAGTGACTACGACTGGGCACGGGCAGGTGGTGCGAAGCGTCGACCACGGGCATCTCCCCGAGCGTCGACGCCGTGGCGGTCGAGTCAAACGACCGGCGGTTGTCGTGTGAGCGGTTGTTCATGACGCGGCGCTCGGCCTTTTTGGCCGGCGAGAGGTGAGAGAGAGAGTAGCGGGTGCTGTAGTCGAGGGGGTGCTCGCTCGCGTTAGAAGCCGGGCTGGTCCGTCAAGGGATGGCCTGTAGGGCAGAGACGTACTTGGGAGACATTTTGGGAAGTGAGTGGTTCTTTTTCTGTGCCTTGACGGGGGGTGTGTGGCTGCGTTGTTTGGTTGATTCTGTGTCTTGGAGTGGATGTGGTGATGATTGTGGTTCTGTTTGTTTGCTCTGAATTAACGGAACAAGCTGGGGAGTCTGGATGTGGAGGACCGTTGACTCTTATAGACGACAGAGCAGCTTCCGCCTCTTCAGAAGGGATCCTCAGAGAACAGCTCTGATCTTTGTCGCCCCAGACCCCATCGTAGACGAGCACCATGTCAGATGAGCTTGGTTGATGGTTGATCGTCAGACACAGCCTCCGACATGTTATTGCCTCCCATCTCCAACGGCAGACATTTGACGATATTGCTCGAGTGTTTTCGCCCTCCCGAATTGCTGCTATGACGTAAGAAGGGCTCGGCTACCCTTCGCTCCTGCGCCCTGTGACGATGGCCGACCTGGCCACCATGATTAGCCGAAGGGCCCTATAGCTGGCTTAGCCACTCCCATCGTTCGCTTAATTAGCTCGACCAATGGCATCAAGCAGAGCCGCACCCTCCACGGCTTCGATCTGCGGACCCTGATGTCGACTGGAGTGTGCATTTGAAGACCATGCATGCCTACATAGATAGATAAGGGCCCTTCCTGCATCGGGGGCGGAGGGCTGATGATCTGTTGGTCTGGGGAGCATGTGCTATTGCTGGTGTGATAGGAGAAGATCGTCTGTCCCGTGCGCAAACCCATATTCGCATGATGGCTGACTTTCCAGGTGGCAATGACGTAGTTTTGGGGCTCCCTAAAGGGTCTGCCACGGGGATGATGGTTGGGTGAGATTCCATGCGAGTGGTAGAATGAGGCTATCACCTTGGGGAGCTGTTGCTGCCAGACCACTGGAATAGCGTTCATCCATGGCGACATTCTCAAGATGCTAGAGAAGGATTGGTAGACAAGGGGCTGGGGACCTAACACAGGCCAGGAGTACCTTTCATTAATATGACAATGTTAGGAAGCCTCCGGCTCGGCCTAGGTAAGGGTAAACAGGAGAAGCTCCCAGGAACGGCGAGGGCTAGGTTGGGCTTCACGGCAACTGTTGTGTTTGCAGGCATCGAATCCTCGTAAAGCGTTCATTAAAAGACCAAGGTAAACTAGGAGAGCACCGTCCAGTCATTAGCTGATTGTCCTCCGTTTGCTTTTAATTGTCACGGAATAGTCCCAGCCACACCGTCAGATCCCCCAAGCATCCCAAATTCAAGATATCATGACCAAAAATCGCTAGGATCAAACATTACTGCGACGAGATATAAATGTACAAGCATCAAACCAAATCAAGCTACAGATATCTCAGTAGTCTTCATTATCCCGCTGTGCTTCTTGCTGTCGGCCTCCTTCAAGGTCTGGTCCGACGTGACGCAGGCGTTCTGCCGCAGTATCATCTCCTCGCTGCCCGAGTCCCCGGGGATCCCGGTCTTGGTGCCCCCGGCGCCGCCCCGGGCGCGCGGGGAGAGCTCAAGGTCGTCGAACTCGGGGCGGCCGGCGACCGAGTCCTGGTTGATGTAGCCGGTCCGCCGGCGGTTGGAGAAGCCCGACCCGCCGGGGTAGCTCGAGTTGGCGTAGGGCTTGGCCGTGTTGAGCTTGAGGGCCCTGCCAAACAGGGGCTTGAGCGGCGGGATGCAGGCTGCAACTATGCCCGTGTCGAGTTGGAGCCTGGGTGTTGGGGACGGTTGTTAGCTATGCTTGCGGTCGCTGATGGTGACCGCTGGGGTCTTTGTGGGAGTTCTGTTCAAACTTACGCGGCCCAGAACTGCACGCCGTGGTAGAAGGCGGCGTCCTTGTCTCCCCCGTGATGGATCTGATACCACGTCTTGGGAATGCCCATGAAAACAGCACTGTTGCAGTCGGGTGTTAGAGCATGAGAAATAGGAGATATGAGTGCGATCAATCAGGAATGGGGTTGGCGCGTACATCCAGCCAAGACTAAAGACGACGGCGAGATAGATCTTTGTGATCTTCTTCATCTGTAACATCCAGATAACCGTGATTGGCAATGTTGCGAAGGCAATATCGGTGGTGATGTTGATTCCTGTAGACCAGAGAAATCGTTAGCGCAGGCTTTACCACCTTCTGGTAAGGCTCCAGTGGCTAGTGCAGTATAAGCCTACCGGTATGTGCGATACCAAACGCAATAAAGAGCTTGATGTCATAGCACTTGGGATTGATGGACTTGTCCCAATAGCCGCGAACCGGGTCGCAGAAGAAGATGATGGTGCCACAGGCCAGGATCCAGCTTGCGGCAGTGATACCTGAGATTTTGCGACGAAAAACGGTTAGGAACAGAAGTCCATGAAGAGGGACAAAGGGCAGGCGCCAAGACGGCATGCCGCGCGAGCTGGAACGACGTACCGAGGAAGACATAGACCACCAGGCTGTACGACCGCGTGCGGATCAGTTTCAGGAGCGACAGGCCGATGGACACCTTCATCAGGGCCAAGCCGGTCGTGTTGGGCACCAGCGAGGTGAAGAAGCTCTGCTTGGCGAACTGGACCTTCTGCTGATTGTTGATGAACTCCCAGTGCTTGCCGAGCCCCTGCGGCACCTGGAGGCAGTGGAGGATGAAGCCGCCGACGGCGCACGACTGGCGAGGGGGGGAGCGGGCAAACATGCATGCGTTAGCGCATCGCTCATAGGATGGGGAGAGAGATTCGACCAAGAGGGTGCATGGCGACCTGGAAAAGGCTGTGAGTGTGTCGTACCGTGCAGGCCAACATGACCCAGTCGTCCCATCCCACTAACTTGACAATCCTTATTCTCGTGTAGAGACGCAACGAGGTGGCGAGGATGGCCATGAAGGTGAAGGTGCCCATGACGCCGATGAGCCACTCGGTGTTGCTCTCGGCAGCGCGGGCCGGGTTCAACGGCGGCGCCGCCCCGACCGAAGAGTTCATGGTTCCGGGATTCACTTTTTTTTGCTTGACGGCCGCGACCGGCGGGTTGGAGGCGAGTCTTCGTTGCTGCTGTCTTGTAAGCCAGCGAGAGGCTTAGATGTCTTGGTGGCCGTGGCGGGACGCACGGGTCCTCGAGATGATTGGCCGAGCGGACAGGGAGGACATTCACCCCAAGGGGACGGGAGGGCAAAGGCGTGAGCCAGGGAAGCGAGAGGGCGGGTAGATATAAAAACAGCACGCTCCTGGGAGGGCGCGTATCCGCAAGGCTGCTTCTCGTCTGTGGGGAAGAGCTTGGGGTGTTATATGGTGCGTGTGTGTGAGTGGGCAAGGGGGGGCATGGCAAGGCAGGGGGAAAAAGGAAAAGGGAAAAAGAAAGAAAGAGGAGGGCGGAAAAGTCTCGAGCAGGAGGGCATGGCAGGACGAGCACCTTGGCGATCGAGCTAAGCTAGCCGCCGCGGGGTGCATGCTGAAAAAGCCGACGTCTAGTGACCGCCACAGCTCGTCAGGTTGCCAATGTCTGGCCTTGGGATCCATGGGACGGGACAGCGTTGGGGAGTACTGGAGGCTTCCCTCATGCAGAATCCAACGGGGACAATGGACCAAGCAGGTCTTAGGTATGGTAGCCCATCTAGACGACCGTTGGTACCAAAGGCCATGGCCTAACCGATGGGCTTACCGACGAACACCTGCCAAATCCGCGTCGAGGGGAGAGTTGCATTTCGCGGCCGGCCACCGCCCAGGCACGGAACGGGACAGGGGCGATGGCATAATCTCGTTTGAGCTGGTAGCGGGCGCTGTTAGTGTGCATTGCCAGGCGCGCTCATCTAACACGCCTGGCAGCGTGGCTGCTGTATTTGTGGATCTGCACTCGAGGCGTGCCAAGAAGGGCGTTTTCTATCAAGCAGCGCACGTCCCCCACCTAGCTCATATTTTCTTTCTTTCTTTTTCTTTTTTCTTTTCATCCCGTTGCTTTTCCTTTTCTCACTCGTTGCTTTATTCCTTTCGTTACATTTATTTATTTGCCGAACCGTCCTGCAATGCAGCTGGCATGGGCCGTAAACCAAAAACTGCATCTTAGCCAAACCACACCATTGGTGGGATTTTCGGCAACGTTTTCGTGCTGCGTCTCAGAATACCACTCACACACACCCCAAAACGGCAGCCTGTCATCCTACCCTCGCAGGGCCTGGCTGGCGGCACACGGGGCCGTTAGCCGAGCAGGCCGAAGAGCAGCGTCCAAGGTGGGCCCCCTTCATTCTGGCACGATCCGTGGAGAAGGCGGGGGAGGGGGAGGGAGGGGCTTGCCGAGCCGAAATGGTTTGATTGCACTTTCCCTGCACAAGCGTGTGGCTTTCAAACTTAACACCGATAGCCGTTATAGTTAAATTATGCTAGCTAAAATGGTGTTGTGTAATAGGTTAAACCACCAGGTGGTGCCTGGCGGGTGCCGAAGTGGTATTATTCTACGAAATAAAGAGAAAAGGGAGAGAATTGGGTCCTTATCCTTGGAGGACGCGGGGTAGTTCCTATATACACAAATCCTAACCCAAAGGGGCACCCCTTGGGTTACGTAATCCGTACCTAATACGGATTTATAATATAGCCTTTTCCTCCCCCGTTTTTTTCCCTCGGTAAAACGTTCGGGGTGGTTCCTATATATATAAGTCCTAACGCAAGGGGGCACTCCTTGGGTCACGTGATCCGTGCCCAGCACGAATCCATAACAACTAGGGAAAGGTTGTTTGTATGCAGCCGTCCTTGGGCCAAATTACCGAGCAGCCACTCGCTTTTTTTATCCATTGTGCTCTGTTAGCAGGCCATATAAATTTCCAAGCCCTGGTAATATCTAGGGACAAGTTAACCCCTAGGTCCAAAGATATTCTGCTGTTGGGAGTAGGCACCAGGTAAATAAGGCGGCGTCTAGCGCCCTAAAATAGAAACACTCCGCTGCATTTTATCCCATTACGACATGGTATGCCTTTGCTAAAGTCCACATTAATTTTGGATAATCCCCGCTTCTCGTGCCAAATCCGGCCTCTCCTCCGGCGAGCCCAGCGACATGTCCTTGGCCTTCAGGCTAGATAATACCCTGGCGGAGGCGCGCCAGCAAGCAGCCAATCCAACCCCTTAGATCTCTCTTTGGCCGCATCGCGCCAAGCCGAGTCCTTTCCCTTTTCCCGTTATACCCCAGGTGCCCTTGCCCAGCGTCGCTTTTAGAAGCCTGCCCAGCAGAACCGCAGGTCCTGGGCACACAAATTACCTTATGAAACAACAAGTTTCGTGGAGCTCCATGAGACCTTCATTTGATGCTCGCAGCCTTTTCTGCCAATATGCACAAGAGACTGGGCAGGAGTCGGGACGCAGTGCCGACGACCTATCCTGGCTGGCAGTCGGGTGAAACGACTGGCTGAGCCAGATGCAATCCCACAAATGCCCAAATCTGCGGTTGACTAATATCGCCTCTGTTGAACAATATCGACAATGCCAGGGGCAGGACCGCTACAGGCTTGGCTGCATCGGCCAGGAGGGGAGGGGGCCTCGGCGTCAGTCAGTTATACAGGTCCTAGGAATGACAAACCTTAGTGCGGTGGATGCAATATACATTTTTTTTCCCCTTAGAACCACTGTACTAAAGTTTGTAATCCCTGGGACCTGTGCCATCTGCGAGGGAAAGAAAAAGGAAAAACCCACCTCCCAACAAGGGGGGTCAAAACTGGAAATTACAAGGGTGGCGAAGAGGGGGTCACGTGCTGGCATAAAGTCACTGCCATTATTAAAGTTCGTAAAAAAATGGAGAGAAATCGAGAGAAGCTTTTAAAGGACGAGAAATTCTTAAAGTTTTGTGATATCCCCCCAAGGTACCACGACCCCTGCGATCTCCAGTTTCAACCCCCCTGTTACTGGGTGGGTTTTTCCTCTTTCTTTCCCTCGCAGATGGTAAGATATAGTCGGATGGCTTGGGAGGGAACAGACGCGGACCACCGGCCACCGCCTTTACTTACTTGGACCGTTCCGTGTGCGCCCTAAAAGGGAGACTTCCTCCGCGCGGCCCCCTCCTCGAGCGCGCGTGTTCCGGTTGCTCATCATCCTCCCTTCCGTCCAGCCAACTTCCTCCTGCAGCCCGCGTGCTCGTGTGACTTGCCTACGCGCGCATATCCCCCCTCCTTTTTCCCACGTGGCGACCTGGTGCTCGGCCGGTCGAAAACAAGGGAGTTGGTTGGGCTCGGACAGTTTTTTTTACGCTTGGGGCTGCTCGCACACATCACACGGGATGCATGCTGCAAACACCATCGTCGGCGCCGTTCTGGTGCTCGGCGGCTCCGTCCTCCGGGCCTCTGCCGCCGCCCCGTCCGCTGTGGACCTGATCAAGGAGCTGAACAGCCAGGCCATCGCCAACCTCGAGCAGGCCAGTAGCGGGGTTGCGGAGAAGAGGGCGTGCGGCATCCACAACACTGCCATTCGCCGGGACTGGTGAGTTCTCCTCTTCCTTTTTCTCTCCGAGCGCTGTCTGAGTCACGGTCGACTGACATGCCCTTCCGCTGGTTCTGTTTTTGTGTGACCTTTCTTCTACACCTCGCCCGTCGCGTCCACCCGTCTTCTTGCTCTCTCATCAGAAGAGGCTGGCCGAGTGAACTGGTACCTTCGCCAATCGTCGTCGATGGCTGCTGACACGTCGCAGGGAAACTCTGTCAAAATGCGAGCGCAAGGACTACATCAGGGCGGTCAAGTGTCTTATGACGAATCCCGCCAAGTCGTCGCCCTCCTTTGCGCCCGGCGCCCGGACGCGCTTCGATGACTTTGTCGCCCTTCACATCAACCAGACACTGACCATCCACGGCACTGTAAGCACCGCCGGGAATTCCCCCGAAAAGGGGCTTGCTCTCTTTTACACGCTCTTTTGTCGGTCGTTGGGCTAACCTTGTCAAGGGAAACTTCCTGACTTGGCACAGATACGTCACATGGACGTACGAGCAGGCCCTTCGAAACGAGTGCGGGTACAAGGGCTACCAGCCGGTGAGTTCATGCCATGTGTTTGCGGTAACAAAGTCAATGGTGTCGGTTGTCTTGGGTTTGTGCTTCATGTGCTAACCGAATATGTCTCCGTCTCCATGTAGTACTGGAACTGGTTCGCACACACCGACGATCCAACCAAGTCACCGGTGTTTGATGGCTCCCCGACCAGCATAGGCGGCGATGGAGACTTCCTGGCGCACAACGGGACGGGAGCCGGAGGAGGCAACATCTGGGTGCCGCCCGGCAAAGGCGGCGGCTGCCTCAAGAGCGGGCCGTTCTCGGAGTAAGTTCCGTGTGGCCCATCGGCATAGGCCATTGTGCTACGCCAATCGTGTCGACCGCTGTTTTGCCTGCTCAGGCTAACAAGACGCGCGCCTCCTCTCCAGCATGAAAATCAACCTGGGTCCCGTTCGGCCCAGCCAGGACGGCATGAAGCCGAGCCCGGCGGGCAGCCTCGGCCACAACCCGCGCTGCATCACGCGCGACCTCAACGCGGTGGCGCTGCAGCGCTGGATGACGTACGAGAACCTGCTCAACATCACCGTCGGCGCGGCCAGCCACTCGGTGGGCGCGTTCCAGGACGAGCTGCAGGGTCGGTTCGGCGACGGGTTCCTGGGCATGCACGCGTCGGGCCACATGGCCATCGGCGGCGAGGCCACGGACCTCTTCTCGTCCATCAACGACCCGTCCTTCTACCTGCACCACGCCATGGTCGACCGCGTCTACTGGCTGTGGCAGGCCCTGCACCCGGACAAGGCCGCCGACATCGACGGCACCACCACCATCTCCAACAACCCGCCCGGCCCCAAGACCGTCAAGTCCGACATTGTCAACATGGGCGTCCTCGCCGACTCCAGACCCATCTCGGACCTGCTCAACACCCTGGGCGACTCTCCCTTTTGCTACATCTACATGTGAGGTGAATGGCAATAGGGTTGGGCGGTATTTTTGTAGATATTAGAATGCTTTTATTCTTGCCCAAACCGCATGGTGGGTTTTATCGTTGGTGGCTACCTCTATAATCGTACATAGGCCCTTTTCCTTCTAGCCAGCCTCCGGATATCTATAGATATGAAACTTGCACCGCAGTCCGCTGTGGTCGCTCCATTCAACTTTTGCAGACGGCGCTCCTGGTCTCGGCGCATCGACGAGCAGGGGATGCATAATCTCCATCGACTCCGGCACCAAGCCCACCATGGCGACCTTGTCCATCCTCGCCGGCTCGAATCTGGAATTCGTTCTACTGACATTCCACGTAACGTCAGGCTTGCCGGTGCCTCGATGCAGCGTCAGCCACGCGTCCTGCAGTCCGTACTCATCAAGGAGCCCGTGGTCCTCCTCGGTGATGGCGTTAAAGTCCCCCACGATCAGCCCCCGCCGCAGCCAGGCTCGCGCAGAGCGGCGGCGAGCCGCTTGAGCTGCGCGGCGCGGTAGGGGAACGAGTTGAGGGACTCGAGGTGCACGTTTACGACGCGGACGAAGCCGCCCTGCGCGCCGGGCGGGATGAGGTCAACGCAGAGTCCCTCCCTGCCCATCGCGGTCGGCGTCTGCTCGCGAAAGACCTGCCCGACCATGAACTTGTCCTCCTCCTCGCCTTTGGATCCGTCCGCGCCACCGTAGGCAAAGCCCTTCTTGGAAAGCAGGGTCATGTTCTCAAAGATCTTTTGGTCCGCGTCGGGGCCGGCGTCGGTCGCGAGGAACGCATCCTGCACCCCGGGGCTGCCCAGGATGGCGGTGCGCAGCACGGGCGTGATCTCTTGTAGGCAGATGATATCGGGGACGCCGCCCTCGAGGACGTGGCTAATGAGTGCGACGCACCGCCGCGAGGGCTTGGCGCTGCTGTAGTCGATGTTCCAGGAGACGACGTCGAGGTGGTGTTTGGGAGAGGTTGCATTGGCCTGGCCTTGGGCTCTAGATTGCTGGACGGCATGCGAGGTGACAGGCATCCATGTGTGAGAAGTGGGGCAATAGTAAGAAATGGAATGGGGGATCCTGAGACATTTTTCCGATTTAAGAGAGCGATGGTAGATGTATGTCAAAGGTGGGTGCTGGCTTGGTGGTGGTAAAGGCACGTAATTTATCTGCTTGGAACATGTTGGGTTAGCAGGGACAGCCCGCCAAAGTGGCCAATAGCCAGCGCGTTTACGAATGCAATGCACCATGCCTGCACCGCATAACTACAAACGGTGCCATCCCATATCGTAGTCTGTTACGCGCGCCCTCTATAGCGAGTAATCTGGTTCGCGATGTGAGGTTAAGTTGAGTTTACGCGCCACAGGAACCAACATCGTCAACCATGTCGGCCGTGACAGGGCATGCGCAGAACAGTCTGAAGTGGTGCGAACGGCAAGGCACCATGTCCCAACTCTCGGCACGGCTACTGCCTCGACCGGAGCCAATCGTTCCCACACTGTCGTGCGAACGGGGGGCTGGCCTCCTGTTTCCCTCTTCTATCCTCTCACGACCACGACTCCTCTGGTCCAAACAGCGCCATTCGCTTCAGCTGTTTAACGCCCACCGTATCTCGGCTGCTCAATCTTTCTGCTTAATCAACTTTACCCATCGTCTATATTTAGCTCTTATTTACGGCGTGCGCACGTCGCATCGGGTCCGTCATGCATGTTTACATTTGACCTCGTCTCGTCTCGGGATTCCACCTCCGATGCCCTGAACCGTGATAGCCCTCTCCTTGTCCCACGTACGGCCTTGCTGCCCCTGCGCCTCCAGCCATGTCCGCCCCCGCGAGAGCAGTCGAGGTGCGCAAAACCGCGTGCAGCCCTTGGAGGCCGGGAATCAGTACACCCATGACTACCAGAACCACGGCGAATACAGTCACAATGTTCAGGGGAATTGCTCCGGGGGTGAAACCCACATACACTTGGGTGGTTAGTAGCTATTGAGCATTACTCCCCAGACTTCGCATCTTCACGTCATCTGGGCTAAGTCCCACCTCGCCACTCCGTCTGTCCTCCAATGGCCCCCTTTAGCGCGTATAAACGCCTACTACGTAGCTGCTCAGACCGAGTCCCCTCCAACACCGAGGAAGAGCGCCACTGGGTCATTTCGAAAGCAGAGAGTCATCGTTTCGTTGGGCGCGGAATCCTTATCGACAGGATTCAGCGCGCTATCGACCCGGTCGGCCAGCCACCCAAGAAAAGAATATTCGTGATAAACGGTCTTGAGGGAAAGGGAAAAAGTGAACTGGCTCTTCAAGTTGCCAACCAGATGCGCCAAGTGTACGTTGTTACCAGAACCCTTCTCGCCACAGTACTTGCATCTTGCATCATTGCACTGGTATGGTCAGGAACCATGATGTTTGGCTCCATCTACAGATGGATCTGGCCCATGCATACTACTGCACAGGAAACGATGCGGAAGCGGTGATTTTGTTGCAGGAAGTGGTCCACGTTCAGGCTCACATATGGAAAAAGGAAGATCCAGACCGAATTTGGGCGGAGCGCCTACTTAACCGGCTCCGGAGCCGTGGAGGAGTGTAGGACATCAATAGTTGCAACGAGAAGTAGGGGGAGGGGGGGGTTGCTGTTCTTTTTTATTATGTGCAGGACTTGGTGGGACATAAAATGAGTTCTACGTATATTTGAGAGCATCCATTCTGTTGCCAATTTTGCATCCAACACGTATGCCTGTTGCGCAATAGCAAGACCGCCTCTGTCCAAAGACTGATGCAGCCCTTTGGCTCGTCCAGCTTACCAGACCTGCCCCGCGGTCTGCTGCGTCTTCTTGACGTTGACGTTCCTCCATAGAAACACACCGGCCAGGGCTAGGGGCATGAAGCAGGCGCCGGCGATGACCATCTTGCGCTGGACGTCGCCGTAGGCGAGCACGATGGCGTTGCGGGCGGGGCTGCCGAAGGGGTACGACAGCTGCACGGGCAGCGAGCCGTAGATCCTGGTCGCGTTCTGCTTCTGGTCCTCGGGCAGCAGGTCCTGCAGCAGCGGCAGCAGCTGGTTGGTCCAGATGCCGCCCGAGATGGCGCGGCCGATGGAGCCGCCGACGGACGAGGCCAGGGCGACGAGGGCCAGCATGACGGCCACCTCGTTGTGCGACACGACGCTCATGACGGCCAGCTGCTCGCAGATGATGATGGTGCCGGCCGACGTGGCCTTGAGGACCTGGCACATGATGATGTAGCCGATGTGCGTGTCGGGCGTGCGGAAGTGGATCAGCAGCGCCGTGGAGAGGCACGCGACGGGCACGGCCGAGATGGCGATCCATTTGTAGTGGTGTGTGAGGCGGATGAGGCTGTTGGGTTGAAACGAGATTCCGGTTAGCTTTCAGCACTTTAACAACGACAAGTCGCCAAACACCCGTGACTCAGACTCTTCCAACGGGCAAAGCTTACTATCCGACGATTGGGCCCCAAGTGCAGCTTGCAATAGTGTAAATGTTGGTGATGAACCCGGCCTGGGCAATGGTCTGCTGGTGGACGACCTGCAGATAGGACGAGAAGTAGGAATCCCACGTCCCGAAGCTGGTCATGATGATGCCGGCCACTAAAGCGGCGCCAAAGATTGTGCGGTCCTTGAGGTTGTTCCACGGCGCGAGCGGGACGACGGCGAACATCTTCTCCCAAAAGACAAAGCCCACGATCATGAAGAAGCCGATGATGATCATGGCGATGATGTATGCCGTTGTCCACCCGTTGGGGCTGTACGACTGGATGCTGAAGGGCAGAAGGAAGAGAGAGAAGCCGCCGCACAGCAGGGCCATGCCCATGACTGCAAGATGCACACAGCTTGTCAGCTTCCAAGACCTGTCTAGCAGTGTCCATTCTGATGAGACTCAAAACATACTGTCAAACTCGTTGATGTAAAACATGATGGACTGCGACCACGTTCTGCCGCTGCTCGGCCGGCTGGGAACAAGGCCCATGCGCTTGGCCTTGCGCAGGTTGAGCCAGAGGTTGACGCAGATGGTGGCGCCAAAGAAGGGGAAGATGATGGCGAAGGCGCCAAAGGCCCAGCGGAAGGTGCTGTACTTGTTGAACAGCTCGGCCACGATGGGGCCGGCGAAGGCGTTGCCGACGTAGGCGGTCGAGTTGAGGGTGTAGATTATCATGCGGTTCCGGAGGGACGTGAGGTCCGAGATGAGGACGGTGTGGATGAAGCCGACGCCGCCGCTGCCGACGGTCCAGAACACGTTGGCGGCCGCGTACGTCTCGATGTTGTTGGACACGGCCATGAGGAGCAGGCCGAAGGAGCAGAGCCCGTGCACGAGGATGTACACCTCCATCCTGCCCCAGATGTTGCCGATCTTGGCCATGGGGATCTGGGCGACGCCGCCGACGAGGCGGGCCACGATGCCGACGGTGGCCAGGAGGCCGTGCCTGGAAAAGGAGGAGGTCACATAGGGAGCGAGGTTGGAGTTCATTTGCTGCTGCATCGAATGGCAGTAGGACGTCAGGTAGATCCTGGTGTGAAGTTACCCGAGGGTTATTAGCAGGTGTTGGATGGTGCTTTGTTAAACGAAGGTGCGCTAGGCGCAATGGCATCCGGGGACACCCGAAACTTACAAGATGTAGGTAATAACCAGGTACTTGAACGTCCATGCCTTGGTGATGGCCTGGATCTTGACGACTCCGTGCTGCAGCTGCACATCCTTGTTGACGTCGCGCACCTCCTCCTCGGACGCATCCCCGCCCTCGGGCTTCGCCTCTCTGTCCTGCGACGTCTTCTTCTCGCTGAAGCTGCCCTCAGGCGCCTCGGTCTGCGCCATGACCACGGGCGGGTTCATCTCCTTAGGCGTCGCCATGCTGTTTGGTGCTTCGCCGGCCGTGTGATTCCGGGGGAGGGACGGTGAAGCCTTCAGGGCACCATGCGGGAGGTTAAAGGGCAGCAAAGGCGGGCGGGCTCGGGCTGCTGGGAAGGTGGGAGGATGGTGGCTCAGGGGGAACACTGGCTGCGGGGATGGCGGCCATGTATGTGTGCGTTTTATAAGTAAGCCCTTTGGGCCTGCGGGAGAGGGCTCAAAAGGCAAGAGGAAAGTGGCGCCAGTGATCAGCAGGAATGCATGGATGGAGCGCTGCACAAGTTGCCAAGCATCACACGCCATGAATTCTCTTCCCGAGCGCGGCAAGCGTCGTGCAGGAATCAGCCCGGCATGGTGAGCAATTTCTTCCTCCAGCCGGGCCTCGGGGTCTCCATCGGGGCTGGGCATCTCCACCTCGAGAAAGTGCAACAGCACCGATTATGGCGCATCGAAGGGGGCCCAACCCCGCCGGTCTCGCAGACATGATGCCACCCTCCCTGGCTGCGGGATGCGTTATTGGTCGAGAGGGTCAATAGCGAAAGGTCACATCCATTGCCAAGCGTGGGTATAGTTTTTCCATGCTGTTGGCTAGACTTTTGAGGTGGAAACCCCCGTGTCTGTCATTTCGGCCTTCCTGCCTGTCTTTGGGATCCCGAGAACAGGGTGTTTTCCTTCAGGGGAAGGAGGCAGCTTGTCAGCCGACTCCCGCCACCGATACCGGCTCTGTGGACTGTATGACAGCGTGTTCCACTGAGAGATGGGTCAAGGTGTGCTCGCTCGTCGCTGGTCTTTGTTTGGCGCGTCGGAATTTGCCTTCACTAAGCATGGCTGCGGGGACTCTGGCTCGTGGTCATGGAGATGGGCGTGGTCGGGTGGGGTCAGAAAAGATCTGATAAGATTTTTCTATGTAATTTCCTTGGCGCATGTGGGGCTTGACGGATCTGATAACTTAAACCTGGACAGTCCAAATGGACTCGGCCCGAATCTACCCGACGTCTGAAAGGGATGACCAACGCGTTTTTTTTTGTCGGTGTGTCGTATCTTGTTCTGCCTTCTACGCCAATGACGGATTGCTCTAAGTGGTATGAAACTGTCGGCTTCAATAAACCGATAAAGAGAACTGCATGCGCCCCTTTACTTTCGTTGTAAGGGAGGCCAAAAGTATAGATAGGGTTTGGCACGCCTTAAATACTCTATTCAATTCCACGCATTCTCACAGCCGCCATGCTTTTATTTGTTTTTTTTTTAGTAGATTTGTGCTTGGCAAGGTCAACAGTGTGAGCGTATGCTCTCAAGGCAGTTGTTTTTTCCTCTATTATCCCACAGCCTACCATATTTGCGAGGTTCGTGTGCCTAACTCCGGACCACACTGCCAACCAAAAATCCGCCGACACATTTTTCCCCATTTCCGTTCGATGTCCTCGATTATGTATTGGCTAATGGAAAAGCTACCAGCCATGACGCTTTGCAATGTGGTTCAACTTCCATCCGTTGACGCTAAACCCATCACCAATACATGTCACTGTCCGGTCCTGTATCCGCGTCTGCGAAGTCGGCATCGGGTAGGTAAACATGATGGCAGCAAAATGCATGCACAGTTGTCAGAGTGTCGGACAAGCAAGCAGTAAAAGGGCGCCAAAGCCGAAGGCCATTCATCGTTGTATGTGTTGGAACAGTATTTCTGTGCGCGTGCGATCCGGAAAAGGAAGGTTGTCACAGAGGGCTCCGGGATCCTCTGGATCCCGCACGGGCCAATACTGTCTGCCTTAGGCAGAGCAGGGAACCACCCTTTTGGGTGATCGTCCCTGTGCATATAACGGGCAGTCCTGTGCCCTTCTTTTGGCAGATAGATTCCTTCTTCCTCATGCACAATATAGAGCTTTTCCCCAGATCACAGAGATCGTTGTTCATCACCTTTGGAGATCTCCGAGCCGTCTAACAGGAGTACCAGACTCCTACCAACAGTATGGGTATATCGTGTGCATCGCTTCATGATCCCGAACTAATATTTACATCGAAAAGTTTCCAGCATCAACCCCTGCAAATAGAAAGCCAGTGCTTTACATGTGACCATGCTTACCGTGGTTGCAGACGCCGCGGACCCTGAGGGCGGCGACGTGCGCCTTCTGGTCCTCGGTCAGGCCCTTGCCGCCGAAGCCGCCGATGGAGCGGCGGGCGACGGCGTGGCTGCGGGCGTCCGAGTTGGGGAACTTGGCCACGACGCCGGGGCCAAAATCGGCGCCGTCGGCGACGTAGAGGACGTCGCCGCCGACCATGGTCAGCAGGGCGCGGTTCCGGCCCAGCTCCTCCTCGGGGACGCTGAAGTAGTCGTTCTCGAGCACAACGGCGTCGGCCAGCTTGCCGACCTCGAGCGAGCCGATCGAGTCGTCGGCGCGCAGGAAGCTGGCGCCGCGGTTGGTGATGGCCCGGATGGCCATGTCGCGCGTCAGGGTTTTGCCGGCGAGCGTGCCATTGAAGGGGAAGCCCTGGGCCGCGGGCGAGTTGGGGTTGAGCGGGTCGCCCGAGCGGGTGGCGCCGATCTTGAGGGCGAGGAACTCGTCGAGAGGATCAATCTATGGCAGGGCGGGAGGTCAGTCATGCATCCAAACAATGTGGTAAAGCCAAGTCAAGCAAGAGAAAACAGGCAAACTCACAGGCCAGTCGCTGCCGTAGGTGATGGGACGACCGGCATCGACAATCTCGCGGTAGGCCTGCAGACGGTTCTCGAAGCGCTCCTTGCCCAGGCTGCGCCAGTTGTCAGGCAGGTAGAAGGAGCTGGGCTGCGACCACTGGAAGCTCATGATGGCGTCGACGCCGAGCTCGGCAAAGCGGGGCCAGTCGGCCGGGTCGCTGATCTCGTCGTGGGCCACGCCCAGGCGGAAGTCGGTGAAGTCGGGGTGCTTCGCGCGGAAGGCCTCGGCGGCATCGAGGGCGATACGCACGGCCAGGTCGGCGTCGGCGTGCATCTGCACGTCGATGCCGGCGAGGAACAGGCCCTCGAGCGCCTTGTTGAGGATCTCGGGCGTCCAGTAGGGGTCGACGAGGGTGCCGGGGTCCGAGACCCACTCGCCGCTCAGGTCGCTCATGTTGACGGGAACCAGGTACGGCTCCAGGACGGCGGCCGTCAGGCTGGGGTAGGTGATGACGCCGTCAAGGAACAGCTTGACGGCCTGCCACTTGAGCGTGGGCGCCGGGCCGAGCGGGGCCGGATCGTGGCGCGCGGTGAGGGCGGCCTTGACCTCGGCGACGTAGGCGTCAACGGCGCCGATGGTGGCGGGCTGGTCGAGGCGGTAGTCGAAGTAGACACGCGAGGTCAGGTTACCCTCGTCCTTTAGCTTTTGGTAGAGCGGGGCCATGTTGAGCTGGGCGGCAGCGTCCTGGAAGGTCGTGATGCCCTCCTCGCGCAGGAGCTTCATGGCGGCGCGCAGGGCCATCATGCTGTCCTCCTCGGTAGGTGGGTTGGGGCCGGCGAGCATCTTGTACGCGTCGTCCTGCAGGATGCCAGAGGGCTCCTGGGTGTGGCCGATGCGCTCGATCTTGCCGTTGGACGGGTCGGGGGTAGCGGCGGTGATGTTGGACAGCGCGAGGGCGTGCGAGTTGGCAAAGACGGTGTGGAAGTCGCTGGAGCGGACCATGACGGGCCGGACCGTCTTGAGGCGGTCCAGGTCGGTCTTGGTCTGGCCACCACTGCGGCTGATGAGGGACGGGTAGTCCATGTTGACGACCTCGATCCACTGGTTGGGCGACTCCTTGGTGTCGCGGTCGGCCTCGATGCACTCCTGGACGTGGGCGAGGAGCTCCTCCATGCTCAGGGCCTGGTAGTTGAGGTTGCATTTGAGCAGGAACTCGCCGCCCGACTGGACGTGCATGTGCGAGTCGACCAGGCCGGGGATCACGACGCGGCCGCCGAGCTCGATGACGGTGGTGTTGTTGCCGATGTGGGCGGCCACCTCGTCGTCGGAACCCAGGTGCGTGATGCGGCCGTCCGTGACGACCATGGCGCTGAAGGTGCTGCCGGCCTTGTCCAGCGTGTGGATGGTGCCGTTGCGGAACACGCGGTCGACCCGGGCCTTGCACGGCTTGGCCTGCGCGAAGGCGGCCAGGCCGGCCACGAGCAGGACTTGTGGCGAAGTGAGCAGGTTTCCAAAGGCCATCTTGACGCTGGTTTGACTGCTCGGGGGGAAAGAGAGAGTGGCCGAGAGAGCTGGTCAGCGGGCAGATCGGGCTGGGATGAGGCTGGAGGGCGTGAGGGGGAGGGGATGAAAGCCGGACGGAGGGAGCGACATGGGCAACGTTTATACCACGCCGCCCATGAGGTTGGTATACTCGCGGTGGCGCTCGGCGGACCTCCCCGACACACCTGGCAGCCATATTTCGGAGCCGTGTCATTTGCCTGCATTGGCAGGGAGGAGTTGGGCGGTGGCCCCGCCTTGGACCGAGCTCGATTTGTCGATGGTGGCCCATCGCATCATGGAGCTCAGCAACGGCGCAAAATCCACCAGGAGGTCCAATATGGCCAAACCCCGCTCTCTCCACCGCGCCCCCGCGCCCCCGCGCCCCCCAACAGCCAACGAGTGAGTGCACCATCCGATGGACGATAAACAAATTAGCATCCACCGCATAGTCAGGGTGCCTTGTCGGCTTTCTATCCTAAAAAGGAGGGTCCTTTACCCCATCATCGATTCCACAGCTGGTGAGCAGCCCATCGAGTGCCAGCCCTGTCGGAGCGAGATGCCAAGCAAAGAAGAAGAAGAAGAAGAGGAAGAAAAAATGGCGCCCCATCCCATACGGAGTAGGTTCTGCAGGCTTGATACTACTGCCTAATTGAGAATGCCGTGCAAACGAGACAGTAGACAACTCAAAAGGGTAAATGCCCATCCACCGTCAATGCTTTCCCGCCGCCAAGAAGCCTGGCCCGATAATCAAACCGAATGGAACACTTCTCCATGATTTAATCTCCTGCATACCGGCCCTGGCTCCATTGCGGCTCTGCTGGACAATAGTAGCCGGTGGGAGGATGTCTCTTGGTGCGGTGCCTGCGTGCTGTGCCTGCGTGCTACTTGCCTACAGGTACCTAGGTACCTAGGCAATTACAGTGACAGTTATGACAGAGAGATGTCAGTTCGGACCAGGTCACCAGGCTCCTAGATTCGAAAATACTCATAAACTATTACGGCCATTAAATGACTAAACCTCTTCCCTTGCTGCCGTTGGCTTCTTGACGGCGACCAGCTCTATATCGCTCTTTTCCCTCTCGTCCTGCAGCCACGAGTTTCCGCCCGGCGTGATATCGGACAAGACGGACGGCTCGCGGTGGACGTGTATGGTCGTGGTGCGCATGACTCCGCCCATGCTGCCGGGCGGCGTCGGGCTGAGGGCGCCGGCGCCCCTCTCCTCGTCTAGGGACTCGAACCCGCGCTTGGACATGCCGCCGGGCGCCGGCGCCGCCGACTTCCGGACCGAGGTCGAGCCGCCGCCGTACTTGCCTCCCGCGTACCTGTCCGAGGGGCCCATGAGGGTCCTGCGTGAGCGGAAGTAAGGGCGCAGCGACGGCAGGCAGGCGATGACGAGCGTGATGTTGCAGTCAAGGCTGCTCCACAGGTCGACCAGGCTCAGCGGCACCGACTGGTCGCTGCCGGCGCCCTGGATGGTGGCGAAGCGGACGACGCAGATGGTCAGGTTGAGCAGGCCGAGCAGAAAGGTGCAGTAGATGCCCGCCTTCATGGTCCGCTTCATCTGGATCTCGTGCAGGATCATCCATGGCAGCGCGAAGATGAACACGTCGCTCGAGAAGTGCAGCGCCCAAGCCAGCCTGAACGACGTGCCTGTAAACTCGGTGGGGCAGGCGTCCTCCCCGATCGACCAGTTGCGCTCCACGGGCAGGCACCCGGTGGTGAGGTAGAGGATCGAGACGACGAAGCAGACGGCCGTGTAGCAGGCGACGCACCAGAGTGCGAGTCGGCGGCGCTTCATGAACCGGGGGAACAGCTGCAGGAAGGTCGCGAGCAGGGCGGCCTTGCACAGATAAAAGGTCAGGTAGAACGGTATGAAGCTGATCCAGAAGAGCTATTGGGTGTTATTGCAATCATTGCGTCAGCGTTTTGAACAACAGCACACTCGGGCGTATCCAGTAAGGATGCGCGTGTGGTGATTTTTTTTATATCTCTTCTTTCTAACCTTTAAGATCAATATCACATCCTCTACATTGCCTTCGTATTGTCGGAGGAAAGTGTCGATGTGAGGCTCGAGCGCGCCCATCCTGAAGAAAACGATGTCGGATGCGGCCGTCGCGACAGAAGCCAGCCAGGCCAGGAACATGAGGATATCACTGGCCCATAGGCGACGCCGCTGTACCACAACTCGTAGCCATAGACGGGCGGCGATTATGGCGGCCGATATGGATATAAGCAACCATTGGGAGACCTAGGACAGCCAGTCGGTCGCGTCAGTCGATGGGGCCTCCCTGGCAACAAGGGCCGCTCTATCTAGGGCGAGGACGGGAGGGATGACGAACCAGAACCGCCACGCCACCGGGACCGACTTCAGGCATTTTGACGAATTCGCTTTAGGCTGCGGCCCAGGTTGTGGGCGTGACCTGCTCGCCCATTCAAGCAAGCGGCGGCCTAGATGGTAGAAGGTTTGCTGGAGGTTATGGAAGAGGGGGAGAAGAAGCGATGTCGAGCCGGGGGGCTGCGCGCGTCCGAGGCAGGCCTGCCATTATGTATATCATGCATGTTTGCGCGACCTCCAACCCTCCCATGCCTAGCACCATTATCCACGCCCTATCCCACCAGAAAGCGGCTACCATCTGCGGGGGAAATAAAAAGTAAAAACCCACCCAGCAACAGGGGGTTGAAATTGGAAATCGCTAGGGCCGCGGTAACTTGGGGGGATGTCACGAAACTTCAAAAATTTCTCGTCCTTTAAAAGCTTTTTTCGATTTCTTTCCTTTTTTCACCAACTTTAATAATAGCAATAACTTTATGCCAGCACGTAACCCCCTTTTCGTTACCCTGTAATTTCCAGTTTTAACCCCCTTGTTGGGAGGTAGGTTTTTACTGTTTATTTCCCTCGCAGATAGTACCATTTGCGAGGGAAACAAAGAGGAAACCCCACTTACCAACAAGGGGTTTGAAATAGGAGGAGGCCCACAATCGCAGGGGGACATCCCGGTATGTATCTTTGTGATTTTTTACGGCCAAACAGCCTGCCAGGTACATTTAGCCTTGTTTCGCCTTAATGACTGCACTGCTTTTAGGGTTTAGCTGTTTCTTACCTCCGTGTTTGCCTTCATTTTCACTCAAGATAGCTTTATTTGAGCCTCCTTTTTGCAGTGAACAACGTGCTTTACTATAAGCAAATTTGTAGATTAACGCGCCGGACGGCCGGCTGGTTCGGGCTTTATATTTGCAGTTCCTTTACGTACTTTTATTTTACGTTTTATGCGGCTGGCCGGGCTTTTAATTTTTATTTTCCTCGCGTGTATTCAACAAGCTTAATTTCGGGTTGTATTTTGCGGAAGGGAATTTGAAAAAGCGCTGGAAATGCAAGAAAAAATTACTAAAACTGCCCTGCACAGAGGCAATGTACCTGGGCGGTTTTTTGGCCGTGAAAAATAGAAAAGATACATGCCCGGGGTCACCCCGCGTTTCCCCCTAAGCCCCTGAGGATAGGTGGGTTTTTCCTCTTTCTTTCCCTCGCAGATGGTAAAAGAAGCGTGAACAGGATGCGGGGAAGCTCTAGACCTGGTTAGCCCGCCCTCCGTCGCCGAGTCATGCTTGAGAGGGAACAAGCCTGGAAGCCACGTGGCCGGCCTGGCGGGAACCGGCGCCGGTGCCACAGTAGCTCGTATCCTTCGGGCTTTGATCTTGACTGTTGCTGGCGCAAGCGTTGGGCGTAGTGGAAAGAGGCTCGTTTTGCAAGGCAAGAATAGCTTGCCGCCAGAGAACAGTACAAGTCAGTGCACTCGCATCGGGGCCGCAATAAGCACAAGGCTGGCCTCCTGTGCCCCCACCTTTCCCCCCACCAAGCCGGTCCGCCGAAATGCCGCCAAGTAAAGTCTAAACACCTGATGCTATCCAGAAAACACGAGATGGCTGGCAGGCGCGGCGGTGCGGCGACGTCGTCTTGACGAGATCGTAGCCTTGAAACACGCCTTGAAACGAGTTTGTTCCAAGACCAAGGTGCCTAACGCCGGACCAAAATAAACACCGAAAGGCAAGGAGAATTATGCACGACGGACAGTCGCATCTACTTCTAACCGGCTCTAGTCTCTCCAGTGGTGGTGGGCGTCACGGGCTTGGATGGGCGGTTCTCGGAATGTGTATGTGGCTGGCCCAAAAAGGAGGATCTGCAGCCTGCGCCTGACGGCATTCGGAGGGAGTGGCTGGAAAAGTGGTAGTGTCGCAATGGAAACGAGTTGTAGGCTTGCACCTAGTTAACTAGTAAGCCTGTCTAAGGATAACTTAGCAAATAGCGACCCTTAACGGGTAGCTACCATCTGCGAGGGCAATAAAGAGGAAAAACTCACCCAGTAACAGGGGGGTTGAAACTGGAAATCGCTGGGGTCGTGGTAAGTCAGTGCACCCCCTGTCCGCCCACCCCCCCTGTCCGCCCACTCTGTAGGTCCACAACATAAAATCTTCTAAAGTACTCCCGCCCTCCTATTTCTATCAATTCTAATCCGTTTTTTATACTTTTTGCTGCATTCTAATGCCCAAATGCCGGAAAAACAATATACAAAAAAAAACGTCGAACGGGCCTTCGCTGCGGTGCGAGCGAAGGGCGGAATTTAACGGGCTGCTTAGCTTTATGAAATACTGGTATTAACCTTTAAAGGCCGTATAAAAGGCGCTTTATTTATTTAATAATTACAAAAAATATATTAACGGATACCTTTTAAACAAAAAAAGCGCATGGTTAATTGGATTTTATTACAAAACTTTTTAAAGCTTTTATTAACGTACGCGGAAATCCGGTTTTTTGTAAAGGAAATACTCCAGTTTAAAGGTAATTTTTAACCTTTTAAAAAGCATTAAATTCGTGCTTTTTTAAGCCGTTATCCGGAAATCCGAACCGGAAAATTAAAGCGTATAAAAAACGTACGCGTTTAAAAAGTTACTATTGCAACGATAACAAAATGGTAATAACGCTTGCAAATACCGGAAATGGCCCGAATTAAACCGGAAAACACGTACAACGCCGACGAAAAAAGCTTGCAAAAGGGTAAAACCGGTAACGGGCTTGTTTTAAACCTTGCTGGCATACGGCCTTTACAGCGCAAAAAGCTTAGGTTACGCATTTAAATTTCGTTTATTAAATGCATTTTGGCTACGGGGGTATTATTGCTTCTTTTTATTATTTTTAAAGGAAAAAGCGTGCAAAAGCAATGGTTTTTTACAAATTTGGCCCTTTTCCGAAAGTAAAAATTTACCGTTACAAATAACGGCTGGACCACGGATCCTACGGGTTTAAAATGGCTGCAAAAGGTATTCCTCTTACGCACCCAACCCCCCACCCCTAAGCCCCGTTTCCTAATCCTAAATAAGCACGGATCGCACGTTACCAAAAAGTTTATGGCTTTTTGCCTTTAAAACAACGTTTTTTCCTTATATTTGCCCGCCTATACTTCCCACGTACTGCAACCCTTCGATTTATCGATTTTTAGCCCTTTAAAACAAGCTTACCGCCAAAAAATCGGGTTCCAAGCTTTATTTACTTGCTTAACAATGGTAAGAAAGCGTTAATTTTTAACGGCTTATGCTTACGCACGATTATTGGCCTTTACTGCTTTTAATATAAAAGCGGGGTAGCGGGCGGCCGGCTTTTGGCCTTGCAATATAGCCAAACCTTTTATAAACCGCTTTATTTTTAACAATTTTAACCTAAACGGCCGGCAATCCGGAATTTAACAATTTGCAAAGGATAACAAGGCCAAACAACGTTTAATAATTATTTCCCAAACATTCCAGGTACTTTGGGAAACTTTTAAGCGATCGAAAAAGTTGGCTGCCCAAATTAGCTTTATTAAACCCCGGATCCTTGCAAGCCTTATAATACGGCTTTTTTTTAAAAAGTTACAAAAAGGCTACGAAACGCGCAAATACAACTTGGTTACCGCCCTGCAAAAAATTAAGCGGTTAAAGGCCTAATTGGAAGCACAGGAACTTCGCAAAAAAAGGAGGGTGGCCCTTAATCCTAACGAAGCCTTTGTGGATATCCGCCAAATTGCTGCAACGAAAGGGCAGGATTTGGAGGAAATGAATAGTGCGTTTAAAAGCCCGGACGATTTTGATTAGGAATTAACTTTGTTTTGCATCGAGGTGGCTTGAATAAAGGTAAAAATTTGCAGTTGAATGTAATAGGTTTAGTGTTGATCGGATCCTACAAAGTGGGCGGACAGGGGGTGCACTGATTTAACTTGCGGGGATATCATGAAACTTTAAGAATTTCTCGTCTTTTAAAAGCTTTTTTCGATTTCTCTTACCAGCTTCAACAATGGCAGTAACTTTATGCCAGCACGTAACCCCCCTTTCGCCACCCTCGTAATCTAGTTTAGGGTTTCCCTCCTGCCTGCGCGGTTGGCGGCTGGCCTCGGGTGGCGGCATAATGTGTGCTGTTGAACAAATTTAGCGACTTTACAACAATTTAATGTGCTGTGGATGTGTTTTCGACGATTGCTTTTGATTCTTTTCGGTGGCTAATGGGGATCATTCAGATGCCCATCGGGAAAACGATATCAGACGTTCGTCTTGGCGAGGCGTCGTCCCATGGTTACACAGGTCTGAAGTTGGTCTCATCGAATTTCAAATCCACCAGCCCACCAGCCAGGTCCGAGACACTATGAGGCACGCTAATTGTCACGTGGTGATGAGCCACTATTGGATGTAGCCACATTCTCTCCAGCCACGGATTGACCCGAAATCTCGTGCCAAGTCGCATGGGCTGATTCCGTCATTCTGGTGGTGCCCGTCCTCGACTCCCCGTGTCATCATCACTTTGATGCAGGTACCACCCTCGTGGCATCGCCGCCGCCGCCGACGTCGCATCTCGATTTCCAGTGCGCCCATTTATGATTGCGCATCCAGCTTTGTCTTCCCGATTGGCCATGCCAGGCCAGCCAACGACGACGCCATCAAGCCTCGTCGACAGGCCCATCCGTCGCTGCCCGCATAGACTTGCCATTTGCCTCGGCTTCGCCAGCACAAAGGCATACGGCCCTACCCACCTATTTCCTTTCGTCGATAGTTGACGAGCCGGGCGCTTATCCTTTGGCCCGTCGTCGACATGCTCTGGCCAATGGCCGTCGTCGGCAGGGCCGAGCTGAGCGAAGCGCCGCACCGCCAAGGGACCTCTGGCCTCTGATTGGCCAGAGAGGATGGCATTTAGGACCAATCGCCGTCGCCATGCGCAGGACTCCAATCTTCCCCTCCACTCGCCAGGCCCTAGCTTGGCCATGGGCGCCTGCGTATGGCTGCGAGGGCGTCGCTGCGCCCGCCCGCCCTCAGCCGCTTTCAGCTTCTTCTCCGTAGGCCACAGCCCAGGCCCCGGGCACCACGGGCGACCGTCATCTGCTGATCACGCCCGGTGCTCAGCGGCGCGTCGCATTGGTGCTCTCCAGCTGCTCTTCATATGCACGGCCTTGGCTGCCCCGCCAAGTGACGGGAGGGTCGGTCACTTGGGCCACTGGCTGGCCTGTTCGTCGGCACTCTGTGAGAGGGGCACGCCCAAGAATGGCAAGGCCGTTCCAATCACAACGGCGTGAAGGAGTAAGCCGCGGGGCAGCTAGGGGGGCGATGAGCAAGCGCTTGGTTCGGCTGCTCCGTCATCTGGTTTGCTCGCTAGCTGTTGCCTCGTCGGTCTGGCCTGTTACCGGCCCTCCGGTTCACGGATCGAGTCCTACAAACACCTCATATCTGTCGTACAGACAAAATGGCCACACTTCCACTCCCCCCTCCTTCTTTCTCCCCCTCCTCCCTTTCGCTCGTTTGCCCGTTCCGTCCACCACTGTCTCACAAGTGACTGTCACGCGCCCTATCAAGAAGTTTGGTAGTGTTGTCTACGCTTGCCGAGGAAAGTGGTTCGTGCCACTCTCCGGCGCTACCGATAAATTACCCGCATACCGCCGACCGGTCCGATCCGATGCGACCACATCCGAGTAACGCCTAGGCCTTGTGTTGAAATACTTTCAGACAAGACATACTCGAGCCGAACGCTCAGGGAAAGGAAGGGCGAGATTCCGCCGGACCAGGCGAAGGCCCATCGCCCGCGGTGCTGCAGCCACCATGGCGGTCCATCCAGGAATCCAGCTGGCATGCTCCATGTGGGCGTTGACGCTTCTCTCGCTGGCGCTGGTCGTCGCGCGACTCTACACACGCATACGTATAATCAAGTTTGTTGGAGCCGAGGACCATATGTACGCATGGACCGGCGTCTTTCTGCTCGTCTTCACCTGCTCCATCCAGGTCGGCGTACATTACGGCCTCGGCCGCAGTTTCTGGACCCTTAGCTGGGAGGATTCGAGCGACGCTATATTTTGGACATATGTCGCCAACAGCTTCGCAATCACCGGCAACGCCATGGCCAAGCTCTCCATGGGCCTGTTTCTCCTCCGTGTTGTCCAGATCAGGTGGCATAAAATTGCTCTTTGGTTCCTCATCGTCGTCACAGTCGGCACCTCGATCGCCCTCACCATCATGCTTTGGAACCAGACCACGCCCGTCAAGGCCAGCTGGGACCCCATCAGGACGCCCGGAACGTGGAACATCCAGATCCAGCCCCTGAGTGTTGGGCTCGGAGCTTGGTCGAGCGCCTGCGACTTTTTCTTTGCCATATTTCCATGGCTTTTCATCTGGTCTCTCCGCATGCCACAGCGGGAGAAGATTATGCTCGCGGGCGGGATGAGCATTGGTGTTATGTACGTGCCCTTATTCTTCCCTGGCTGTTTCGGCTTTTCCGACTAACATTGGCTACTGCGTAGTGCCGGCATCTGCGGCATTGTTAGGACAATTGTGCTCTCTCGTCTCGACGTTTACAACTACACATGTTAGTCAGCCGTTTTCTATCCTTTTTGAGCGCCCGAATACTTAGCTGACGTTTATACAGTGAATTTCGTCCCATATTTCGGCTGGGCTGGCGCCGAAATCGCGGTTGCCATGTTCTGTGTTGGAATTCCTACGTTGCGACCCCTCTACATGAAGAAACGCCACGGATTGACGACCGAGTACGGAAACCGAGGCAACCCGAGCGCCGTCAGCGATGACCGGCTGCCGCGATTCACCATGATGGATCAGAAGAAGGTGGCGGCCAGTCCGGCCGCCACGGATGCGAACATGAGCCAGTCGACCTCGTCACCAAATTTGGACATAAGCCCTGAGGACAGGGCGGCCGCGATGCTGGATGCCAGAGTGCTGGCCGCCGCCGCCGCCGCCATGGAAAAGCCGGTTGACCTCGAGTCCGGCGTGTCGGCCCGCGACTCCGGGTCCTTCTACGCTCCCAGGGATGAGGAGAGCTTTGGGGCCTTCCTGGACAGAGAGAGGGCCAGGGAGCTCGGCGGCCAGAAGCCCCCGAGCATCCCGGGAAGGCCGGCGACGGCACACATGCGCAGCTTCAGCAACAACATTAACTACCAGGGACACTCCCGAGGCGGCTCCGGCCACAGGTGGCGCGAGGACAGCCTGGTCAGGCCCGCGACGGCGCACACGGCCAGCAGCGGCCACAGCGTAAACAACGCGGGCAACTACAGGTGGCGCGACGACAGCGTGGACGCGATCCTGGGCCTCTATGACAGAAGCATAGGCGGCGCGGCGGCGGCGGCGGCCAGGGCTGGCGGCGACCGCCGAGGGATCTGGGTCAGGAACGAGGTCCACATCAAGCGAGAGGAAGACTCGAACTGGCCCCTGAGGAGCTAGTTGGCTGGCATTGCCTTCCCTCCCCACTTTTCTCTTCTTTGTATCATTTTTCCCTACTATGTTCTTTCAGGCCCCAAGGCCTTTGTTGTCCCTAGCGAGACGCTCCTTTGTTGCTGCCACCCTAGAGCTTGACTAGAGAATGATAGATGCCCCTCGGCAGCACGACGCAAGTCGCGGATGCCGACACCAAAATTCGCTAATTCAATAATGACCATCCAAGCGTATTTGCCATTTGCATAACATGAGATAATCGTGCCGTTGTGATCCAGCATTGATACGTACATGATTCTTGTTTTTTTCATCCGCTGTTCTGGCTGTTGTCGCTCCGAGAAATACCTACCCACATGTGCACATTTGGATGAGGCGGCCGAGGGCACGAGGCACCCATCGCTTCGAGGTATTGGCCGGCACCCATTGGCGATGCAGCGGGCAGAATGCCTGGGCAGCTGAAAGGCAGGCTGACTGCTAGGCGTTTTTCCGACGCCCGGGCTGTGAGCGACATGTTTTTGAGCAGCATTGGAGTTCTAGGATTCAACCACCAGACACCTGCCCCCGCTCATACATGGAAACCCAGCGTCTCTTGCACCTTCCAATCTATCAAGGAGGCTGTTTCTAGCTGCCCAAAAGGCAGCGTTTCAGCTCCATCACGAATTGCCCGTCTTCGGAGCGCCAACAGTCGCACAGCTTCTCGTATCTCGCCAGCTGTCAAGGTGAATTTCCCGTTGGGCGATCAGAGAGACAGAGCCTTTAAAATGGGTCGCCGCCCTAAAACCAGATTTCCTTCTCCCGACCCCGACACGACGGGAATTTTCGACACCAAGGCCACCGCCCATGTCTACGGCGACGCATCAGAGGGCAGGGCCGTAAGAGTGGTTGAGCGGGCCATGGGCCCCGGCGAAAGAAGACCGTCATGGAGGACGGAACCGGTCCGGCTTATCGTCTCGCAGCCAAGTTCGCCCACAAGCTCGAGGATGATGGAGCAGCCAGCGCCGCGGGCGCTCAAGCAGGCGGGCGGCGCTCAGGCGTTGCCGGCCACACAGTCCCTCGACGAACGAGTAGCGGCTGCTCTGCGCTGCGCCACCGACGACACTGAAGATTCAACAGAAATACCGCAGGCGACCGAGCAACCGCAGTCGCCAATCCATCTGCGCTATGCAGGCGAGGAGACTCAGGCCACCCCAAAACAGCCTAGTAACGGGGGTGACACAATGGCGGCCCTCAAAATAAAGAGGCTGAAGCAAGGGTGGTATCGCGACCTAAATGGGAGGCTGCGGCCACCACGACAGCTCGTCTTCCCCACACCCGATATGCAAGAATTGTACAATAGGATGAGCATCCGTCCGAGACGCATCGGCCTCGCCAAGGATCCATTTTGGAACCGGCTTGGATCTTGCGATCATTGTTCGCAGAGGAGTATTCCGGTAACATGGGAAATCGCCGTATAATTTCGCAGCCCATTGGTGAGACGAGCGATTCACTAACGTATTGCTACAGTGCATTCCGTCTCATTTCAACCTCAAGCTTTTCGAGCGAGACTGCAGTGAATCAGATTCCTCTGCCCCACAGGGGTTGTCTCAGGACCAGGCAGTCCCCAAAATTAACCCCTTCTCTTTGGGATTTATAAGCCCAACACCCCTTCCGACTCAACCAGTTGGCAATGTTCTTCCCGCGCCGTCAGACTCCGGTTATGGTTCAGTGAAGACAGGGGACGCATCGCGAGGAAGAACTTTGCCGGACCCGTTGCTCGCCTTTCCGGATACTGGTGTGGCCCTCTGCGATCCCAAGCAGCCGAGGGCGGACGGCACCAGTGCGGGCCGGACCGCCGACGACGACGCCGCAACACTGTACTCTGACGCGGGCAGCCTCTCTGATAGCCGGGTTGATAGCTGCATTTGCGAGCTCGCTGACGACCTGTTCCACAGACTGGCCACACGCCACGATGGCCCTGTCGCCAGAGCAGCCATGCTTCGCATCCTCCACGTTCTCCCGGGGTTGCTCAAGTATCTTGCGTTGGAGTTCGGGTACGGAGCAAGTTCAAAGATGCACCTGAACATCATGTACTTTGTTCATATGAAGCGCCAGTGAGTTATTTGCACAGATGGCGCATTGAGGCAATCTCAGCCGTGGAAGCTTGGCTAACGCCCCGCCAACGTTCCGAAACAGTGCCATCACGGCAGCAATATGGAATCGATATACTTCCATGGAGGAAGATGACGTCGTCCGACCAAGGGCAGATGATATGCCTTCTTCTTTGGACCTCGTCCGAGGTTGGCTTGACGGTGCTCACGGAGCGCCTGACAGCGGACAGCCCGGGCCGCCAGTGGATGACTTGGACAATGTTGATCTGCACGAGGATTTCGACGAGGATGGCATCATTCAAGAGGTGGCCGAGTACACCAGGCTGGTGATTGGCTCCGACGCCTATCGTTCCTTCCTCGCCAGCGTCCGCGCTGAAGCCTCCCTTGATCAAGGAGATACAATGAACGAGATACGCGAGAGTATAACTTGCGCATTTCCACCCTTTTGGCGCAGTATGAGTCGGCATCGGCCACCCGAGGCCTGCGAGGCCGCACTCGCTGTCAACTGGGATCCGTTCACATTCCTGAAGGAACAGGGATACGCCGAGCCCCCCGAAGATGCGTTGTCCAGCGCCATAACTGTCACAGGCTCGAGCGTGGATGCCCAGGCTACCACAGTGGCGCAGTACCTCGCTCAAACTTGGCCATGCGTAGGCCTCGACGTACTGGCCAAGATACAAGACTTGGTCAGGGGCCACGCAGCAGTACAAGGTATGGCACTCATGCACACTTCTACCCGTAGATTCTGGGAGCGTGGTTAACAAGAAACAGGCGTTTTGCGAGACACCACAAGACTTGAGGCCAAGTTCGAACACAATCCGGTGACGAGGCTTGTTTTGGATGTTCAGGGAACGCCAGAAACAATTGTTCAAGTTGCCCAAGTGCTGGCGTGGCTCGGTGCCGCCCTGCGCTGCTCACGCTACAAAGACCAGCCGCAGGCCACCTGCAGCGTAGCACTCTTGACAGCTTCTAGAAGCTCCTGGGCTAAAATGCCCAGGATCAGCTGCAAGATTTCCTTTGGCTACATGGAGCTACCGACCCCCCGCTTTTCCCTCGGCCAGTGCTGGCATGGGCTCTTTAGGAAGCCGTTTGTCGTCAAGGGCTTCCCTATCCCTTGCAGGCCCGAGCCTGGCCTGGGGCTGGAGATTCCGTTGGACATGATGGCTGCCCTTGTCGGGAGCTCGAAGCTCGACTTATTCGGCGCAAAGGTCTTCATCAAGGGCTTCTCGGCCATGCTTGTGCCCACACTGCGACGTGGGGACATTGTGGTCTGGCACCTCGTCGCGCAAGGCGACGCCCGTGTTTCGTACCTCGACTGGGAGGGCGTGCACGAGCAGCTAACGATGGCGGAGATGGAGACGGCCCGGCACGTCGTGGGCTGGTGTTCCCAGGTCACGTACGACGTCGGGGGCCCGGGGGCCAATTACAACATAGGCCGCTCCCTGCTGCCAGTGGCCCACGCAGGATGCAGACTGGAGCGGGCCGAGATCTCGGGCGGGCAGCTCATCCACGGGACCGTCACCTTTGCTCTGGGGGCGAGGGAGAAGCCGATACACGTCTCTCGCGACGGATATATACCCAAGCTGAAGTGGATAACGGGAAAATACGTCATCCTCTGGGACGAGGAGTCCCGAAGGGGATGGCTCGTCAATGGCGCCAGCGCGTTGCTGCATCTGCTCCGGGCTTCCCTTGGGCATAGCCAGAAAGACAAGTTCAAGAGCGCCTTCCTCTTCGATGAGTCCAGCTTCATCGAGGCTGAGGGCCACAACAATGCGGATTCGGCCATAGAAGTACTCATCAACGAGCGAAATCTTCGGCTGCCGCTCTACTCGGAAAGGAGCGAGACTGTCCAGAGCGAGACATCAAAGGGAAAATTCTCCAAGAGTCAGCTATCAGCCACGAGAACATCGAAATTCTACTGCATCCAGGATAGGGTAGAGCATCTATACGGAATCCTCGAGAAGATGATCGATCACCAGACTGCCGTGGAACGCCGAGACGGCGTGCAGATGCCAGAGTGGCCGCGGAGACAGCTCGAAGGCTGGGATTTTCGCGAAGTCTTTGCCGACAGGGACCCTCTATATCCTCGTGTGGCCACTCTAGATACGATTGGAAAAGGCTGGGTCGACTTCACCAGGGGCATCCACGCTATCACACTCTTCGGACGCGGGTTCGGCGACCTGATGCGGCCAGGGGGCCAATCCGCGGCTGCAGCTTGCACGCGATGGTCGACGCTGCCACGCGGTGGCTGTTATCTAGCCGCCGCCGTGTCGGACCTTATGGAGATCATGAGAGTCGATGGCGATCCGGACGCCAACCCTCGCCGACTGTCCGAGAGGCTTCTATGGTACAGCAAAGAGGCGTCCTTTAGCCCTTGCCCCTGTGGAGAAATGACACCCACAAGAAGAAGTTTTGGACCGACGAGCAAGCACCGCGATCCGGTTCAAGCGCTGTTCCCGTCTCGGTTCTGGAGAAAGCTGAAGAGAAAGGCGCAGGCTGAGCTGCCTGACAGAGGGGCTGTGGTGTTTGGGCATAATTGGTCTCTGCACTGGTATTACGGCGATTCTGGCGATCCGCAGAAAGGTGACCCGCCATCGACGGCGTTGGAGGAAGATCCAGAAGAGAAAACTTCGGCTCAGCGGCAACGGGCCGATAGCGGCTTGGGCTCCAGTCTACCCTCAAAGCCGGGCAGTGATAGCCAGGACGGCAGCAGCTGGGACAATCCACAGGCCGAGACGAGCGACGCGTCAAGCCACTTGGGGTCTGGGACAGCGGAAAGTCCAGGAACTTGCCACCCAGCAGATCAGAACCCGAGTCCTAAAGGTAGTCCTCTGTCTCCAGTTGAGAGCCAGGAAGCGGCCGCAGGAGGCGTCAAGAGGCGTTTGGTGGGCATGGCTTCGTCGGCGAAAAGAATGAAACTGAGCAGGGGTTGGGGAGGATCCGGAACGGAATGAATAGGTAATGGGATATAGGGGACGAGCGTGTATAGGCAGCCTCGCCGGCTATTTGGCTTTCATCTAGGGTATCCCCTGTTCATTGAGGGCCGTTTGGTTGAAAGTTCATGCTGTAGCCCCCCGTCTTCTCGTCCTGGACCATCTTAAAGTTGTCGGTGCTCAGTCCGAAAGGGCTCAGGATACCGTTTCCAAGCTGTGAAGGACATCAAACACTCGTCAGCAAGCAGTCTTCACAAGACGTCCAGCCACTTCAAAACGCACCTGTTTGAGCTTCCCCCACATCTCGGCCGTCTCCTTCTCCTGCGCGGCCTTGGTCCTCGGCGGCAGGGCGCGCAGCTGGGCCTGCACGACCTTCCTGTCGGCCGGCCCGAGGTTCGCCATGCCCGACAGCGCCTTGTAGTCCTCCTCGGCGCCCGCGAGGCTCGACCAGCCGCCCTCCTCGCTCCGGGCGCGCGCGCGCCGCGTCAGCGCCTTTGCCCGGATGCGCGCCACGTCGGCGACGCGCAGCCGCCTCGCCGCCTGCGCGGCTGTCTCCTCTTTAACCGCGGGCGCGGGCCCCGCCGCCGCCGCGCCGCTGCTCACGATCTCCTCCTCGACCTCCTCCTCCCTCGGCGGCCTCAGCGGCCTCGTGCGCCGCGGCGTCGGCGTCGGCCTTCTCAAGCTTCTCCAGCCGCGTCAGGGACTCGGTGGCGGCGGTGGCGGCCGACTTCCACTCCTCGAGCTTGAGGTGGCAGGCGGCGATGTTGGACTTGAGGACGGCAACCTCGAAGTCGAGGTAGTTGGGGCACACGGCGACGGCCTCGTCGTATTTCGAGAGCGCCGTATCGTACTTTTTGGAGGCGAAGAGGGCATTTGCCTGCGTCTTGTGATCGTTTGACTCGGATAGGAGCTCCTATGGGAGGGTTTTTTTTTGTCAGCACAATTGGACGGCAAGAGCTGCCTAGAAATCAGAGCTCCGGCTTGCCTGTTCCTGCTCAGGGGAGAACCTAGCGGGAACCGCATCATCGTCTCCGTGAGCATCCGGCTTCGTTGATGGGTCTGCCGGCTCTTGCGTTTCCGGGGCTGGGGCGGTGTTGGGCGAGGCTGTTGGTTTAGATGACATCTTAATCTTGTCTGCAAGCACATGCCTTTGGGCGTGCGATGGCGTGTGAATGTTTGATAGCGTGTGAGGGCGGTTGAGGTTCATTGAGGTTTGTTTGCGGTGACGTCTGTCGAAGCGACCCCTGCCCTATCAAAACCCCCACCCTTCAATGTGGGGGGTACCCACCAACGTCCAAAGCTGCCCCACGGCGGCGAACCCTGGGTGGATGAGGCTCTTAGCAACAAGACATCGCATCGGCTGGGGAATAAACCGACCCTACCTAGCTCCGACGTACGGACGACAAGTGGTGACAGGGGGCGCACAGTGACAGTCTGGCCCGGTTCCGCGAGTATAATTTCGGGAAAGTTACAGTACATTGCCCCGGAATATAATTGCATCCCTGGCCTTCGTTTACACAGGACGGTACATAAGTGGGTTAATCTAGCGTTAGATAAATTTATCCTCCTCGACGTATGTCAGCTATAAGAAGTCAGCTCTGTTCTAAGTAGCTTTGGGATAACCACCCTTCCTCCGGCACGACGGCCGTTTCGAAGCCGGGTGAAAGGGTCCATTCGGCGGTTCTCGCCGAGGTGCCCCAGACGGCTCGGTTCGGTGCGCCTTCCCTTTGACACTTTGTTCAATAAACGCACCAACTGGATAGGAGAATGCTGCTTTGTGGGGTCCCAGTGAGAAACATTGCCTACAATCGGTAGATGATCATTTTTGGTCTTTGTTCTTTCCCCAAGCCTAACACCTCCCTAACGAGAAAAAAAAAAACATACTAGCCTCTGCGTCAACACTATGCCCGACAGAAAGAGAGATTTCGTCAGAGTGCCACGGAAAGGAACAGCAAGACATCATCAGAACCACTACCGATCGCAAGAGAACGCTGCGCAATGGCTCCGAGGAATGAGTATGTATTCAAGGCACACAAGGATGTGATGCCGGAGGCGACCTCCGCTCCTCAACACACCCCACTTGATCCACCCCACTCACCGTCACCCTCCAGATGCCAGCAGCCCAGTTTCCCGCCCGTGCGGGCATGTCTCTTCGGCATGGATGGGCTGCTGCTTGATACGGAGGACAAGGCTACGGAGTGCCGGAACAGAATCTTGGCCAAGTACGGCCGCCCCAACCTTCCATGGCACATTAAGGCCCAGATGATGGGCCGCCCAGGTATGGAGGCCGGCATGATTTATTGGGCCTGGGCTGAGCTGACCATTACACCCGAGGAGCACGCCGCGGAGCTGGCCGCGCACCAGCGGGAGATATTCCCGTCTGCCGCGCCCCTGCCCGGCGTGGAGAAGCTCCTTGGCGACCTCTCCGACACCCACCAGGGCGGCGGTGGCGGCGGCCACAGGGTGCACCTTGCGCTCGCCACGTCGTCGAGCCGGGCCAGCCTCCCGCTCAAGACGTCGCACCTGCCGCCGACCCTTTTCGCCGCCTTTGAGGTGGTGGTGGCGGGCGACGACGAGCGCGTGTCTGCCGACCGCGGCAAGCCGCTGCCCAACATCAGCATCTACCTGGCGGCGCTGCGGGGGCTCAACGAGTCACTGCTGCCGCTCATCGACGACGACGACGGGGAGGAGCAGTAGCAGCAGCAGCCCAAGCCCATCCGGCCCGACGAGTGCCTCGTGCTCGAGGACAGCGTCCAGGGCGTCGAGGCGGCCCGCCGCGCCGGCATGCGCGGCGTCTGGTGCCCCCACCCGATGTTGGAGCGCGAGCTCGGCGGCGTCGGCGGGCACGCCGAGGTGCTGGCGGGCCTGACGGGCGCCGCTGGCGCAGATTTTGAGGCAAACACGCTCGGCGAGATCGGAGACGGCTGGGGCGAGTACCTGCCCTCGCTCGAGAATTTCCCGTTTGCCAAGTACGGCATCGTCTTGGCTGAGAAGGATACTTCTCCCTCGGAGGAATCGTAAGTGACTCGGTTTTTGTTATACCCAGATACAACGTGGAGTTATAGACGGCGGAGCAAGTCCGCAGAGGCCATATCACAAGTTGACAGGAGCTAAATACAATCGTCCAACCCAGAAAGCGGTGTCACCGTGCAAGACTTCGAATTTGCCAGAATGTTATACGGCTGCCTATCGAAAGTAGCTGCCAAGCAAATATGCGTGGCAAACACCAACGACGCTTCAAAGCCCATCTAGTATAAAAGGAAGCGCCTTGGCCACCAAAAAAACAAAACCCTAACTAAACGCTAGAATGCCGCGCACCTTGCCACATGCGAAGAATCCCGTTTCCTAGACGATGCCATGCCATGAGGGCTTTGAGGTTTTATAAATATACAGCGAGTCCCATTCGGACGGAGTAGTTGCCCAGACGCAAGGAGCTTTTTTATCGTCGTTTATTTTTCTTTAACCACATGAAAGGCCGACTTGGCCGGAATAGATATACAGAGGAAGTGGAAGGTCGTTAAGAGTGTGGGAAGTAGATATGGCGAGCAAAAGCAAAGGGGCCTGGTACTAGTAGAGTGCGTGTGTTTGCTCAACAAGCGACCGGGCCACCATGGTGCCGCAGCACCTAGCCTGCCCAGAAACCATTAGAGCTGAATTGGCTTGTAGCGTTGGGTGGCTGATACCAATTCTGGTACGGGTGGTCTGGCAGGCTGAAATCGGCTCGAATTAGTAGAGGGTTGACGAGAGGTCTCGACGAAACCGGCAGCGGTGGTGTGGGTTGCTGAGGGGTGCGTTCCCGCTGCTGCCGCTGTTGTTGTTGCTGATGGTGTTGTTGTTGTTGCTGCTGTTGTTGTTGTTGCTGCTGTTGTTGCGCTTGTTGCTGCGCCTGCTGCTGTTGTTGGGCTTGCTGGACCTGCTGCTGCTGGTATTGCTGTGCCTGCAGATGCTGTTGGTGCTGCATCTGTGGTGATGGGTTCGACGAAAAGAACTGCCGGCTCCCTCCAGAAAACGTCGAGGGCGCCTGTGCTTGGTGTTGTAGCGGCGACGAGCCCCTACTCGGCATGCCCGCCTGCATGACGGAGCCGACGGGTCCAGACTGGCGCCGCGCGGGCGCCTGGGGCCGGGGCTGCTGGAGCCTGGGAGGCTGAAGGGCGGGAGGGGCGCCGGCGTTCTGGCTCCTGGGCGACCCGCCGTGGCCGGGAGAGCACACGGGGTTTGCGAGCGCCGACGAAGCGGGCGACCCCAACGGCGGCGGCGCAGCAGAGCCGGCACCACCTGCGTTGCCTGTAGCGGCAGCAGTCGAGCCGGCGGCATTAGTAGCAGCAGTAGCAGTAGCAGTAGCAGTAGCAGCGGCAGGCGCCAGGGCCGGATCGGGCATCCAGCCCCATTCCCTGCCGAGCTCGCCGTAGACCTTGCCGAGGCGCCAGCCCGTCTCGCGCTTGATGCGTTCGAGTATGATGACGGCCTCCTCCTGCTCGCGGCGGTCGCGCAGCACGGCGGCCGAGATGGCGAGGCTGCGGATCGCGACCGAGGCTATGCCGTTGTCCTTTGTGTGGGCGACGATGCCGCACACCTGGTGCGCGTGGTGCAGCTGAGCCGCCCTGTTCTCCTCCGAGTCGCGCGGGTTGACGGGGTTGATCTGGGCGAGGAGGCACATGGCCGTGTGGTAGAACAGCCGGCCGACGACGGCGGCGCGCTTGATGAGCCTGCGAGACAGCAAATTAGTCAACAGTCCCATATCAGTGGTGCGTCGTTACACGCGGGCGCCCGGGCACCAGGCACCTGGCGTCGGGCGAGCAGGGGCTGGGGCTGGGGGTTGAGGGCAAGTCAGGGGGGAGGTCGGGATTAATCAGGGCTCTGCATCCGCGTCGCAGCTTACCAGACATTCGGAAACGCCGACTTGGCCTGCGTCTGCGAGGGTGGCAGGTAGCCAAAGGGCCGCATGGAGCGCGGACAACTGTTGCACCAAGCGTCGCACAGCGCCTTGAGTCGCTTCCACTCGGCGAACCGGCTCTGCAGCCGTACCTGCTCGTCGTACGGCGACGGCTCCTGGAACCTTGGGATGTTGGCCCTGAAGCTCGCGATCTTGGCCACGATGTAGAAGATGCGGTGCACCCATTCCTGGTCGTCGTCGGGCCGCCCGATGCCGCCACCCTCGTCCGGGTCCACGGCGCCGCTGCCGCCGTTCTCCTCGATGTCGTTGAAGAAGGTCATGTCCAGGCCCCAGTCGTCCGGGTGCCACGCCGTCTGCCAGTTGAACGACAGGCAGCTCAGCACCTCCATGCCGATGTTGAGCCAGAAGCACGCGGACCCGACCCCTTTGCTCTTGGCGTTCCACCCGCACTCCCTTATGAGCGCCCGTGCGCCTGCGATGTGGTTCATCCGCTTGGCCGGCTTGTCGCTCATGATCTCGTACACGTTCAGGACGACGGCCGTCGTGGCACACTCGCCCATGTCGCGGTCGGGGTTCGAAAGGCTGCGCAGAAGCTGTGTCGTGGCCGTATCGTAGTAGCACAGGGCGCGGTGGTCGTGCTGGTTCTCGGCCGTGTTGACGAGCGTCAACTGTTTGGCGCCGCAGGCGAGGAAGGCGTTGAGGAGCATCGGTGACTTGAGAGCCAGATAGGGTATGACGCGGCTGAAGTGCTTGTCCTTGTCGAAGCTGTCCATCCACACACCCACTTCTTCGATAAATACTTGCATGTAACGAACCTCCTCGGGTGAGTTGAGATACTCGCGCTCGCCCGTCGCCACGTTCTCCGACGGCGGAGTCATCAAACCATCAGGCTGCTTGTTCTGGCTGTTGTCTTGGCCATCGCTCACCGATGCGCCCGACGGCGGGCCATTGCCTTGAGGAACCAGCGATGAAGCCACGCTGGAGACGTCGCTGGCCTTGTATTGGTGCGTGCGGGGCCCTGGCTCTTCCTTGATGCCACATTTGTCCTGAAGCGCCGCCAAGTTGAAGCTACCGTTGTTAGCCCCCATATCCATACTGCCATGGGGTGTGGCCCTGGTAGGCGGCATCTGGACCGACGCCATGCTGTCCCTGCGCGAATCGGGCATGGGCAGCAGCATCTCGCTGAATCTCCGGTCCACTGGCGGCATTATAGGCGAAGGCGCATAGTTTGACATGGCCATGGGCGTGTTCGTCTCTGCGGGTATTGACAATGCTGGCATGCCAGCCATCTCCATCGACGTCTGCGGTTGCAAAGTAGACGGCTCTGGCTCCACCTCGCGCGGTGGTGATTCGATACGGACGTACTTCTCCACGCCACCCTGATATTCGGATGCAATCATCCTCGATTCGTCCTCAAAGCGCACTATCATATATCCCCCAAGTGCTCGATTAGCCTCGCGCTGTGCAATGTCAGAGCAATCCCGGCCACAACATACCGTTCCACTCGGTCCTGGGCGGTATGTAGGCGGGGTTCTTGACTTGAATGTCGATAAAGTTCAGTCGTACCCCTCGCCGACACTCCCTCCGACTCTTCCGGCAGTTCAGGCAGTCGGGAGTTCCCTCGTCGCATTTCAGGTGACGCTCCCTACACGTCAGGCATCCCGTCCTCACGCGCCTTGGTTTTCCTACCGACGTCGGTCCGGACGCTGCCATGGGCGAGGGTACATCCACTGCCGTGGCGCTGTTCAGGGATGCGCGGGCGTTCGTGGGCGACTTGTTGCCGGCGGTCGGGCTCATGTTGGGCTTCGCCTTGGCATCACCGCAGCCGGCCTCGGCGGCGCTCCCGGCGGGAGGAGGCGACATGGTAGCGGCGACAGGGGAAGTCCGCTGTCGTTTTGCCGGCGGAACCTCGAAGAGATCGTTCGAGGAAGACGAGGGTGACTGTTTCGCAGCGGGGAAAGACAGCAAGGCATGCTGCGGTTGCTCTCGCGGCGGTTGTCGACGTAACAAGGGCGATAGTGACGGCTCTGTGGAGCCGTGGTGGTTGTGATGGTTGTGGTGCTCGCGGATCTTTTCCGTCATCAACATCACTCCAGAGGAGCCCGGGCTCAAGCGTGCCCGACAATGCCTCCACAAGCCACAACGGCGGCAGGGCGACGCCCTCAAAGGATCAAAGTCTCTCTCTTTCGCCTACTCCTAGAACCGGTTTACCTCAGCGCAGGCCTAGGCACCCGATTTGGAGGAGAAAGACTGCCTAAGCGGAGGGCCGGCTGGTCTCGACCAATGGAGGATTCTGCGCAAACTCCAACTGTGGGATCGGTTGGCGCCAGTTGGTGCCAGAGCGGGAAAGCGAGCTCTATTCAGCCAAGACAAGCTCCCAAGAAGGATCTGCGAGTCCCTCGGCGCGGGACACGGGCCCCGTGGAGTTTGGAAGCGAAGAGCTGTCTAGGCCCGCGAGGAGTGGTGTCAGCCAGCGGCCTAGCAGCGGAGAGCGGGAGGGTCAAGCAGGTGGGAGGGAGGAGTAATGGTGGGCGGCTTGTGGCGCACACCCGCGAGCGCCGATCGATCTCAAGACGGACAGGCCATTGGCGGGTGGGCAGACATGGGAAAGCAGAAGGGCGAATTCGCCGGTCTGCAGACAGAAAGATGGAGGGTGCTGGGCTGGTGCAACGCAGGGGACCACAGCTGCACCGGACCGCAGCGCGCTTGGTCGTCTCGCCCGGGATTGCTTTTTTAGCGTCAAGAGGCAGAGGTGGTGCGTGGTGTTGTGTGAGACCTTGACGGAGAACAGGGGAGATGGGCTGGTGGGGATTGGCCCGTCTGGAGCTGTGGCGTTTGCAGCCGCCAAATCGGAGCAAGGGGCCAGCTGCGCGCCCAGCACACCGATCTCGACCCGCGGTCAACTGGCATGGGGGAGAATAGGTGGAAGCCTTCGGGGAAAAGTGGCCACGAGTGAGAGGGAGAGAAAAGCACAGTCATAATAATGGTAGCGTGGTTTTTTTTCTTTCTTGGAGACACGCACGTCTTCGAACACTGCTTGCTCCAGATCACTTACCAGGTACCTAGTAGGTAGCTAGGTTGTTCATTAACGATTCCGGGGAAACGGCACCACGCAAAAAGAGCTATGTGTCGTAGTCTTACCCAAATGTTCACCTCGACTTTGCTTCGAGCCTCAAAGCTGGACCCAGAGCGGGCGTTGCCCAGCGAGTAGAGCGAAAGCTGGTTGGGTAAGGCGAGACTGGGCGCCCAGGCAGACTGAAAGGCAGGCGGGAACCGTATGGTATCAATACCACAAGCTGCAGGGGGGGGGGAAGAGGAGAAAAAGAAGAAAAGAAAAGAAAAATGGCAGGCAAAAAGAGGACTAACTGCAACGTCAAATATCGCCGGCCGGGGACGCAATGACATCGATGTTTGGGGCAAACCCGCTGGTGAAGAAGGAAAGAAGTGCGCCTGTTTCTCGACGCGAGACCCTTGGCCCGCGAAAATGGCCTTTTCCCTTTCGGGCCCAGCCAAGACGTCGTAGCTCCCGCAGATCCGCCAGGGGCTTAGGCCAACCAGCGAGGCCGGTCCGTTTTAAACTGGGCTGTGAGAAGCGCGTGCCCCTGGCTCCACGACTCGGGACATATCAGCTTTGGGCCAAAGGCGGATTCGTCCCGTCCTGCAGCCTGTGGCTGTTTTGTTGTGTGGTTGGCCGGGGCTGGCGAGGCTGTCTAGGTGCCTTAGGTGCTAGGCGCCGTCTGCGTGCAGCGAGCGGCTCTGGTTTGGTTTCTTCACTGTAGTCGGGCCATCAATTAATGCCAGCAGCAAGCAATCAATCGTGCTGTGAAAGCTGAGCGATGCCGGGTGGGCGCCAAGACTCTGCGTGCACTATCGACAACCAGCTTGTGGGCTGCGCATTGGCCTTTTGCTTCTTGTATGTATTTTTTTCTTTTATTGGTCTCCTGAGTAGGTGCATGCATGCAACCCCCATTTTTACTCTACGTACTGTCGTGTCCTCTCTTCCGCGTGCGCATTGGATCCCACGCTCGTCAAAAGGGGCTCAAAAAGAAAAACCCCTCCCGGATGTCAATGTGACGTGGGGAATGCAGGGGTTAGCGAAGCTGCTGCTGCGAACCCTAGCAGACAAGCCGGCAGGCCCGTCTCGACTGACCCATTTTGTCTGAGGATGGCGGCCGGGGTACCCTCGGGTTGACCTGATGTCCCCGCCGGAGCCAACCGTCTTAGCGCCCGTCCAGGGGAGGTGACTCGGGGATGGGATCTCGACGCTTAAAATCTCAACGACCATGGGCCCTGGGGCTTGGGGATCTGTCTTCGGGACGCGGCTGGCATCCCGCCTGGGCGGTTCCCGAGCAGGGCAGATGTTGCTACTCGGCTAGCTACAGTCTGCGCCTCTGTCTCTTCCACATGTAACTACCTAGGTAGGTATATACCTAGGTAGCTGGCCAGCCTCTTCACCGCGCCTTTGACCGGCGACCAGGCGCGCTGGGTGGGCAGGAAATGGCCGCAATCTTTGGCGCCACGGTGCTACGTGTCTGGGAGCAGATCTAGCCGCCCTCCCGTTAGCTACAGCGGTGCCATCGCGAGGGTAAAACGGCTGAGCACTTTGCCTCAGGAGGGCGCCGATCCACGTTGCCCCAGATAGCCGACATGGCTGGAATCGGGAGTTTTAGTCGCCGAGCCGTCACACCAGCCTACGAATCCATCTGATATGCACCTGCCTCGGACCGTACCCAAGCGTGCCAAGGTGTGTGCGTCGTAGTTTAGGTTCAAGTCCCCGCGGCAAACTGCACGTCAGTCGCCGAGACACAACCTTCTTACTGTCTTTTTTCTTTCTGACAGGAACATGGGGATATGCGGGGGCACGAGTCCTTTTTTTTTTTTTTAAATTATTTTTTCTTCCATTTTATTTTCTTGCCATTCCTTCGTCACTCTTTAGCTGTGCAGGATTTATATCTCAGTACAAGCGCGTCCATAAATGTCTAGAACTTGAAGACATCTGTGTACAAGCCAGCCTAGATGCTCAATATTGAGCATTCTTGATACCGCTCACCATGAATCTCGACATTATGACATTGCGACATCAATTTTAAAACATTTCCACCAAGTCATCCAGGCCCCCACGCCCAGGGCGGGAGTCCCTGCCAAGCATGGCTGAACCTGCTCCAAAACGTGTGCCAGGTGCAGGTTCTGCCGGGGGTTCTAGAAGCTCTACCGAAGACGGTTCGCCCTTGGAACGGTCTCGTTTCGAGAGGCCTCTTGTTTGGGTTCCTAGCTGATTTACTTGACGCCCGCAACGATAGATCTGGCTTTGGACGCGAGCTCTTGGCGATGTGGGAACAACCCCAAGAAGACGGAAGCTGCCAAGTCAAGCTCTCTGCCGGGTGTGACTGTCTGTTGTGCTGATGGGTTGCCAGTCCATGTGCGACGTTACTGGATTCCAGACGTGTCACCAGACGGGCATGGCGATATTCTATCCCAAGTCTTTGTTTGGCGGCTCATTTCAGATGTGCCCCACATGCAAGGCGGCGGTCAACATGCTGTCTTTTCTTTGCTGGGCCATCGAGTTTGCATCCCTGCCGATATTGCAGCCGGGACCTAGCCGAAACCTTCCGCCCAGGGAATGGCTGCGGCAGGAATCAGGGGATGGAGGCTAAAGGGAGTTTGTTACGCGGAAGCGCCGGAGCGGTGGGCCGCTGAAACAGCACGCTTGCGTGAGTGGTTCGTTCACTCAACGTCGGATGAAAGCTGGAGGCGACGATGAGACACGGCGGAGCAGGCCGCAGGGGGCGCGGGAGGAAGAGACAAGACAAGGCGAGAATAAGGACAAATAAAGGCAAAGACGAGGTTGAATGGCGGGGGGATTGTCTCTGGCGGCAGTGCCAGTGCCAGTGCTACATAACGATTTAATTTCCAGTTCGGGCCACCCGCGGATCAAGGTTTTATTTTGTCGTGATTGCTGGAAACTTTCCTTTTGTTCTGGTCCACTGCACGAATTGGGCTTGGCGGGGCGAATCGCGACGTCGTCCCGTTAATGGCTGGGAGTTCCACAATCGAAGACATTTTCATAACTGGTTGATCGAGTGCAGTAATCGAGCACGGACAACCGCTAGACAATCCAGGCAGCAAAACATAGAACATGAATTGATGACAAGCGCTGCAGAAATCCGTGGCGCAGCGCAGTTCAAGGCTTGTTTGTAACACGTGTGACATCAAAGATTCCCGAGAGATCGAGGATCGGCGTTGAGCCGTGCGGGCGGTCTTGAGCTTGGCTGTTTGGCAGTCCCAGCTGCACGGTTCGGTTCGCGCTGTCGAGGCCGGAGGAGGACGCCAAGCTGCCCCCAAGGGAAGGCAGAGACGACGACACCCACCCACTGCCACCCTCCCTCGCTCCGACCTTCCAACCTGCCAACTGCACAGCCCGCCAGCCTGCCAGGCACCGTTGTTTAGCGCAGGTCTTGCCGCGCCCGCCCCACAGTGACAAGCCGTCGGTGCATTTCCGGACGCTGGGCCTGTTTGCTTTGGCGCCTCGAAGCTCCATCAAAACAAGGCACACTGACAGCAACGCGGGGCACACGCAATCTCCGCGACCCCCCCACCGCCGGTCGTTCGCTCCAGGGTTTTGTTTCCGCTGCCCGTCGCCGTTCGGCAGGGAAAGTTCAAGCAACTCAGCCCAGCTGGACGGGGCTTCTAGTTTAGCGGCCCGTTGCCCGTTTCGCACCTTGAGGAGTCCGCGGCCCAAGCCGCCAAGATCCCCCCGGAGACTATCAAAGGTCATCGAGAGAAAGGTTTCTGGAGCTGCCATGTCCCAGTCCTCTGTGACAGGAGGCGGGGCCCCGGCACAGCCCCGGGCCATCCTGCGTGGACACAAGGCCCAGGTCCACGCCGCCGTCTTTATACGGGGTGGCGATAGGCTCGTAACAGGCGATGCCGAGGGTTTCGTCGTCGTCTGGGACCTCACCATAATGCGCCCCAGGGCCGTCTGGAAAGCTCACGAGGATGTGCTGCTCGGGGTCCGCGAATGGGGCCACAAGAGGCTCATCACGTATGTAGACGTCCTAGCTGTCGGCCGAATAGTTTTAAGTCCTGATTCCGAGCCTCTTGCTGAGAACATCCTGCATTTGCGCGCCTTGCCTGGACTAGACATGGCCGAGACAACAAGCTTATCGTATGGAAGCTGGGCGAGGCGGATGAAGCCTCGCTAAGCCGTGCGCTCCCTCTCGATCCGTCTCCGGAGCCGAGACCACAGCCATGGATATTACACATGCTGGAGGTCAACACCATGAACTTTTGCACTTTCTCGCTCTGCGAAATCGAGTGGTCCACTTCCACACCACTACCACAACTAGAGGCATTGGTCGCTGTTCCGAACACACTAGCTCTTGAAGCGGTAAGTGTAACCTCTGTCAAGCTCACACAACTGTTCACTGGTTGGGTTTTGGCTCTTGTCCTCATTGACGCCCCCTGACACTTCCCCGCCCAATCAAGATCGACATCTTCCGCCTCCCAGCGCAGCGGCGCGAGCACACAGTCAAGCTGGGCGGCAAAGACGGCATGGTCATGGCCCTGGAGCTGTTTCACACAGGCGACGCGCTCACGCTCGTCGTGGCTTACGAGACGGGCACCGCCGCCGTCGCCCAGCTCGACGGCGGTGTAGGTGGCGGCTGGAGCATGCTATACAAGGCAAAGGCCCACTCACAGCCAATCCTCTCGCTGGACCTGCCGCCGAGCAGGGAGTATTTCCTGACCTCGAGCGCCGACGCCGTCATTGCAAAACACCCACTGCCTCGGTCTGCCCACGCTGCAGAGACGGAAACGGCACCGACAGAGGGCGGCCACAAAGACGCCCAGCACACCGAGCTCGATGAAACTTGTCCCACGCAGGGGGATTCCACCGACTCGGCCACCTCGGGCCCTCCCGCAGGCGCCAATCAGGCTGCGCCGCGTGGCATCTCGCTCCTGGCGGCCGCGCTGCGGAGCTCCGAGACAGGGCCGCCGGGCACGCCGACGCCCGCCGGGGCAAAGAACAAGGAGCCGGAGCGGATGGCGACGGAGCCCGTCAAGATCACCAACACCAAGCACGCCGGGCAACAGGGCCTGCGTGTCCGATCCGACGGCCGCATATTCGCGACGGCGGGCTGGGATTCGCGCGTGCGCGTCTACTCGTGCAAGACCATGAAGGAGCTGGCCGTCCTCAAGTGGCACCAGGTCGGCTGTTACGCCCTCGCCTTCGCTCCTGTTGGCCCGAGTGGCGAGGGCAAGGACGGTACGGCTACGCTACAGGCGGTAGGCGACTCGAGCGTTGTGCCAAGAATTGGCGACGTCACTGTCAAGGAGAAGAGAATCCATCATGCAAAAAACGCACACTGGCTCGCTGCAGGGGCTAAAGATGGCAAGGTCAGCCTCTGGGAGGTGTATTGAGCCGCCGTTGCATCGATGATGGACCTATAGCATGGTGGGTTGGTGGCGTGCTTGACCAGGACGAATCTATCAACCAATCATGTTGCCGATGGGCGCCCTTGGCCTGCAAACAAAACCAGAGCATACTCCCAACACTTCGGCCGGCTGTCACCTAGGTTGAAGCCCACAGACAATGAGGCGCGTAATGTTGGGTATCTTCTAGCCTCGAAAGGCGCTGCAAAGGTATTGCCTGCGAGGGGAGAAGTGGTTGTATAAATCACGAGTGGCTATCGAGACGTGGCGATCCTGTCAACTGGCTTGTTAGCGGGGGCAGTGTGGAGCTTGGCGGACTAGGTACATACTGATCGGCTTAGACCCTCGGGTGCTCGACTACATGATTCTCCTGGAATACCTCAAGCGCAATACTCGATTGATTGCGCCAGCGACATGGAGTATGCACCAGATCCATTGAAGTCGTGGAATGCACCCGACAACTGTGCTCCGCTTCGGTGGCGTGAAGCTGTTTCGATGTGGCCGCTGGGAAGCCGTTGGTGCTACCGTCCTTGCCAGCTGACTCAAAGGTTTGGCAGATAATGTGCCTTAAACTTCTTGTTTGCGCGGTCTGCGGAACGAAGCTTGAACTGGTCGCCATGGATCTCGAAGACGAACTTCTGGTCATCCACCTCGGCCCCCGCCTTCGCCGCGGCGCCACCACCCCCGGGGGCATCCGAGGCGACGGGTATCTCGACCCGGAACACGGTGCCCTCCTTGGGCACGACCTTGAGCGCGTTCTTCCTCGTGACCACCTCAAAGACGTACTTTGCGTCCTTAACAACGATTCCCCTGATGCCCACGCGGCCGGGGCACGAGCTGCGCACGACCTCGACCTCGGCGCCGTGGAAGTCGGCGCTCGCGAGCTTGGCGGCGGCGGCGGGCCCGCCGAGGCGCAGGTCGGCGTCGCCGAGCACCTCGCGCGCGTAGCCCAGCCACAGCGCGCGCAGCGGCTCAAAGGTGGCGTACCTGCGCCCGGCGTTGGCACCAGCGGGCGCGTCGTGCAGG